GTCGTCACCAAGCTGAAGGGGGCGGCGGTCGCCGAGGTGGGGGGCGCGGGCCGGCGGCTGTGGGACGCGGCGGACTACGCCCGGCCCCCCCAGGTACGGCCGGGCCCCGCGCGGTTGGCGCCTCAGGCGCCCCGGGGGAGGGAGGCGGTTGGCAAAAGCTGTGGTAAAACCCTTTGGGAAAGGAAAGGCGAGGGTAGCGTTGTGAGTTACAGAGCCAAAAGAAATGAGAAAACTTGTTGTTTGTTTTGCTGCTGAGGAGTGTGACGGTGTAAATACCCTGTTGAAGGTGCATTCTTGTTTCCTAGGGAGAAAATGTGCTTTTTCTGGTGACCAATTTCATCGCTACAGCAAAGCAAGCCCAGGGCACCTGTCCTGAGGTAAGTGAGCTGTGCTGTTCTTAACTAAGCCAGCACTGCGGTGGGATTAGATTTATAAAGCCAGTCAGTGCTGCTGCTCTGTAAGGGTACAGGAGCTCAGCAGAACCCAGTGCAAGACCAGATAGAAGGGAGAAATGGGCGTTTATTCCAGACAAAGCTGATTCGCCTTGTTCTCATTGCTCTATAGATCTTAACTTGCTCATATGCACTTGCTCTGCCCTACCTGCATGAACCAAGATGTGTATCCAGGCAGTCTGGCCAGAATCTTTTCTGGTGACCATAAGGACAAGGGATGCAGTCTGCTCGGGCCTCATCACCTTTCTGGTCTTCTTGAGGGGTGATGATGCTGTTTGATCTCTACAGGATTTCTGCTGCCTTTGGACAAGGGCCGCTCTGGGGAGGCTGAGCTGTGTTGCTCCGTTGCTATTCCATCTCCACAGTGCAGCTGGCATCAGCACTGCCATCCCTAGCTAATACCTTTGTGACCTGTGTTCCTTCTTGACCCTCACACATTCTTGGTTTCTTGACTTGCCGCTCCATTCTTTTACCTCTGTTCTGCGATTTTTCCTGATGCTGTTACACATACTACGTGGATATTTGTCACGTTTCCTTCATAGCTGTCTGCTGCAGGACTCTCCATCTTAGTGTCCTATTTTTAGGAGGAACAGAGCACAAGGTAGTCAGCCAACACTTAGTGGTATATGTTCCCTGGGAGAAATCTTCCCTTTAAGGCTGGATTCAGGCCAGCTTTTCAATTGAACTCTCCTGGACCCTGCTTGGCAGACAGGAGCAAATGTCTTTTAAGCTAAGTCACTGCTGGCAGCTTGTTGCTAAGCCAAGCACTGTTTGTCCTAATGGTCCCTTCGGCTTTTTCTGTGACCTGCTGTGCCGTGCCCAGCCTGATCCTGCTTCCTAGCCAGGCTGGGCTGCTCTCCAAACACAGCCCAAAAGCTGCAGGCGAGGAGGAGCAAGCCCTGTTTCAGGTTGGGGAAAATGGTACTAATGATCCCTCTTTAAAATGTTGAGAACTCATGAAGTACTGATAGCTTCAGGAACATCACTAGGGGAAGACATGCAGTAGAGCATTTCAGGGCTCTCTCACAGGCGGTCATGGGCATCTCTGGATGCTTATTTTTGCAGTGTGCAAGCCAAGGATACAGGAAGAGCAGAGCATTTCATCACATTACAGTGCTGTGGTGTGTCTGGGTGCCTGTCACAGCCCTTACCCCCTGCTGCTCTCCAGTAGTTTCTCAGTTCCTGGCTTTGGGACTGGCATTTATGCTTGGGAAGCTTTGAAGATTTAGCAGTGACAGATTTTGACTTTGCAGGAAGTTCTGAATATTCTTGATTACCAACGTATTCTGTGCTGACATACCAGGGAAAAGTCTGCCTGGGGCCAGAGACAGCACCTGAGCACAAAATGGGTTTTAGCAGCTGATATCTGTGTTGAGCTCAGTTCTGTGGCTAAGCTGTGACTTCTCTCTGAGGGAGACCTTTCGGTGTTGATCTCAAATACTTTGAGTGGTTGGAAACCCTCTGCCTCTGTTTGCAAGGTGCTCCGAAGGTTAATGAAGGCGATCAAAATAGACATAGAGCCAAAGGCATTAGTCAGACAGTGCATCTGCTCTGGCCGGGTGCAAGCTCTGGGGCTAAGGGACCATTTTTCTTAAATCATGGTCTCTGCCACATCCAGCTGTGTGCAGCTCTTACCTGTCCAGATGCTGCTGGTGGATGTGGATGTGGATGTGAATGGCACTGGTCCCAGCCCTGAGCAATGCAGGACCATGTCTGAAGGGGATGAGGGGCGGGTGTTAGATTTTGGGAGAATCATCATCCTTTTTTGCTCACATGTGATGCGTCTGGTGGTTTGCTCTCCAAGAAGGTGCACTTTGCTTCCTGGCCCCTGGTACATGGCTGCATAGCTGTTGAGGGCTGGGAATCAGCAATTGTTTCTTAATAAGATTAAGGATAAAATAATTCTCTACCCACGTATTTGTGACTACAAAAAATAAATATAAACCTTTCAGTCATGAGGTTCCTAGTGTTTATGTACAGATCTCTGCTGTCAACACAAGCACCTCTTTGCTGCCCCACCCCTGTCCCAGGAACACAAATGCTGCCAACTCCAAGCAGTGTCTGATCTCTGCTGTGAGCACCTCAGGGCATGTCTTCTGAAAACGTGTAGTAGTTCACCTGCTTGTCAAGAAACCTGTTCTAAATACTGGTGTGCTCATATTCCTGTCCCAAAACTGCAGTTCTTAGTTAGGTTCCTAGAAAAATTTGTTACTCCCAGTTTTCCCAAGCTTACACAAGCAAGATGCATCAATGGTGTAGATAGCTTTAGGAGCACAGATCCAGGGCTGCAGGAGGGCTTTTAACCAAGTCTAGATCTCTGCTTCTCTCACAATGCACTTGTGGCACATGTGACCTGATTTGGATCATGTCTGTTGAGAATGCCAACACTGACAGATTTTTTTTTTTGAGGCTCGTTTTTACTAAGAGGTGGTAGGAAAGGTTGAAGCCTTCTTGACTAGGTTTTAGGTTTTCTGTAATGTCATCACAGACTTCAGTACTTGAAATTCTCCCAGGCTTTGCAGCTTGCATGCCTTGAACACCCAGAAGTGTCTGTCTGCCAAGTGGCACTTGTCACGTGTCTTGTTACCTGGATTTGGGAAGGGGCTGATCCACAAATGCCTGTTGTCTGAGGAGTTCTGAAGGCTGAATCCTTGACATCTGATTTGATCTAGGACGTTGAAGTGCTCTCATAAGTGCTTATTACAGCATTGCAGGTGGGTGCTGCAAGCTGTGAGTGGGCCATCAGTGGGGGTGAGGGCATGAATCCAGTAGCCACCCTTCTCCAGCATCTGGGCAGGGCTCTCTCGTCCCTCTGGTAGTCTTGTGGCCTTGCCCTTAGACACCCCACCTCACTCCCAGGCCTCATCCTCCCTGGCTCGTCTGGCCTGACATTTGCTGTGGATCACACGTTTCCCTGCATGCCTACTCTCACCTACCCTGTGACAAGTGGTGGTCCCACTCCAGCTGCTGGCACTCAGACCCCTGTACACATGAGGTACATAGGGGACGGAGCCCCTTGCCCAGGAAAATAGAAATAGAATTTAGTCTGAAGCTGTAACAGACTGTGCTGATGGGGAGCAGGGCATGGATGGGTCAGCATACTGACCAGCCAGCTCTGTACATGCAACCAGTCCTTTGCATCCTTTTATCCCTCTAGTTTCCAATCTTTGTTCCTTCTCAGATCACCTAGATCCCTCCTTTTCCATGCCTTCTCTTCTTCCCCTAAACATTCCATCTGCTAAATGTCCTGTGCAATCTCAAAATGCTGTTCTGCATCCCATAATGATTCCTATACCCCTAGGCAGTGACACCCACCTTCAACCCGAAGGTGCTTCAGAGAGCTGCTCCTCTTGGCTCGTTACGGTCGGTTTCATACCTGGAGCAAGGGGCTGAGCCTGTCCTGGGACAGCCCTGGGAGGGCCTGGACAGATGCTTCTGACTCCATAACTGGGGTTTCCCCACCTGCCTTTGGGGTTCTGTGTTAGTGATGGGCTGGTGACTCCTGGGAGTACCTGGGGGAAGGTGTTACTTATGTCCCTCACCTGCCTAGATCTCTCTGTGTTTGAATAGGAGCTTTTTGCTGCTCCTGGCAATCAGATGGGTCCAGAGTGAGGGTGAAGCTTTCTGTGTCTAAAATTTGTGTTATGCTGTATTCAGGGTCTCTTCAGCTCTTCCCTAGGGGAACTGTGGTGTTGCTTTACAAGGTGCTTAATGGGATCTGCCATTAAAGCCCTCCTGAACCCAACTGTGCTTGTTCCAGTCCCAGCCAAAAGGTCTGAGCTAGCTCCTGAGGCTTCCTCTGCCTCTGAGGTGGAGTAGGTGAGTGCCCCAGGGAGTGTGGAGACAGGCAAGAAGGATTGTCCTCAGAGGTGCCTCTCTCCTCGCTGGCTGGAGGCTGCCCAGGGTCTGGACATGGCAGAGGTCTTCTGTAAGCGTTTGGGAGGTACTTGGAGAAGCAGGAGCAGCAGCACACAAATGTGGGTGAGTGACGGTGTGGCCTTGGGCAGCTGGGCAGTGCAGTGACCGCTTCTCTCTGTCTCTCTCAGAGCCCCTCTGTTCTCGATGCGATGTGCACTGAAGATGCGGACTGTCCCATGGGAAACCCAGTGGTTCATGGCAACGGTACTGGGTGTTTTGCTAAAAAAATCAAAATCATTTAATTCCTTGTAGCAAGCAGACGTGCAAAGGTGCCTGACTGCCTGAGTTCAGTGCTTTTTGTAGGTGTGTGTGGAAGTGTTCTCCAGCCATTTATTCTTGACAAAACTCTATGGTGACCTGTCACAACTGGGCGAGCAGGTGCTGCAAGCACAAGACGCTGTCACAGCAAGTACAGGGGTGCTTTGTTTCTGATGTTGGTTGCTGGAATTGAAACCAGTGTGCCATGTGATTGACAGGTTTTCCTTTTGCAATAAAACCTGGCTCTTATTTCATGCTGATTAATATCAGCAGGCTGTGTGAGTTCAGCTGGAGAAAAATATTTGAGCTCTAAGGAGGTCGTTTGCCAAAGCTTTGTGTGTGGGATTGCCCCAGCTCGTTGTGTTCCCATCCCAGGAGTAGGTAGCTCCAGCAGCCATGGGGCAGGAAGGGCTGTGCTGGACAGACCAGGCACTGACAGCAGCAAGCAGCTTCTTGTCTTTGTAAAACAGCTCCTGTCATTTGGTGTGGAGGGAAGGTTTCACAAGGAAGTTGCTGTGTGGGGAAAACCTGAAGATGATCCCAGATTTTTCTTTGTTGTTCAGGTTTTAAGAAGGCCAGAACAAGCTTGTGGCCAGGGCACTATCCCAGTAAGGGAGCTGCAGACAAGACATTTTAAAAAGCAACAGTAAATGATAAGACAATGTCTACTTCTAGGGATAAAAACTGGGAAATGTGTGATGTTCAACAGCACCCATTCCACCTGTGAGATCTACGGCTGGTGTCCTGTGGAGAACAACACCCTGCCCGGGTAAGGCACAGGGTGAGGGGACAGCAGGCGTTGAGGGCCTTGGTTCCTTCCCTCTGGGCTTCATGTAACCAGGGGCCTGCTGATACTTGCCCAAGGGCCATCCAAGCTTGGGAAGATCTTTGACATTGATCTACCTGTCAGTTAAGCCCACAGAACTTCACCCAAGAGTGTTTCTTGAAACTGTCCATTGTAGCCAAAATCCCAGGATTGTGGAAGAGACTGCAGAGCGACGGGAATGGGGATGTGCCTTGGCTGCTGTGCAAAATTTGAGTTCATTGGTTGTTGTTTTCCAGGAAACCTCTTCTGGCTGAGGCAGAGAATTTCACTCTTTTTATAAAAAATACTGTCCACTTCACCAAATTTAACTTCTCCAAGTAAGTATGATGCTTCTTCAGGCAGACTGTGTGTGCAGCCTAGTCCAGCCTCTGCGCTGAGCTTGCCTGCCTGGGGGCTGATCAGCCAGGGTGTCCAAGAAGCCATGTGCCATCCAGGACAGGTGGTAGCCCAGGTAGTTACAGCTCAGGATGATGTGTTCAGGAGAATGGTGGTCACTTCAGCAGCACCCGTGTTTGCAGATACAAGAGCAATGGGGTGGGGAGTCCTCAGAGAGAGGGACTGGTGTTCCTCTGCCTGGCTGAGCACCACAGACAGGTGGGCAAGGCCAGTCATCCCCAGGGTCTCAGTTTACCCCATGTATGTTTGCATTTTAGTCCCTGCAGAATGCTTTCACAGAGGCCCAGTAAAGGGCCACACTGGCCTTGTAGTCCCAGGCATGCTGACTGTGCTGCCTTATTCTGGCAGGAGACTTGGCCTGAGGCAGCTGAACTGCTCCTGCTGTCACCCCTAGAGCGCTGACTCAAGCTCACAGTGGTAGGAGCTGGATGCTGGGGAAGAAAGAAGCACAAGGGCAGAGGTGGAGGAGAGGAGCTGGGAGGGGAAGGACCATGGCAGGTGCTGTAAAGGGTGATAACTTCATGTGTGATTCTTCTGGGCTGGTTTCCTTCCACCCTCTCTCCAACTGAGGCTTTAGAAGAGGCAGTGACTGTCTCCCCCCAGAGCAGGAGCATCAGTGGTCCTTCTCCAGCGGGAGGGTCCCCTTTTCAGTCCTGCAGCAGGGCTCCCTGACCTCCCACACCCCACTCCACCTGTGATGCCTCCCCTTCTCTCTCTCTCTCCTATCTCAGGTGCAATACTTTGCAAACCAATGACCCTACCTATTTCAAGAGCTGTACGTACGATCCATTCTTCAACCCTTCCTGCCCTGTCTTCCATGTCCATGACATGGTGGAGGCAGCTGGAGAGACCTTTGGAGACCTTGCACTGCTGGTACTTGTTTTTTTTAAAAGTATGGAGGATGACTCTAAATGCCCTGAGGATGTGGACAAGGGATGATGGACAGGACTGATCCCTGAAATGCTAAGGGGAATGTGTGATCTGTGAATGTCTGAACAGGAAAGAACTTGACAAATCTGATCCTGTGCTTCTCCTGGAATAAAATGTGTTTTTCAGGGGGGGAGCATTGGAGTTCGCATCGAGTGGGACTGTGACCTGGATCACCCTGCTACCCAGTGCCAGCCACAGTACTCCTTCAGCCTGCAGGACAGGAGGTACAATTTTAGGTGAGGATGCTGTGGCAGTGGCCACACAGGCCTCTAGGTTGAGCACACAGCAATGGTTTGAGATCTCAGCTTTCTGATTGATGCTCTGAAAGGAGCAGCGGGGACAAGGGGATGTGGTAACTGAATGCAGGGTCTGTCAGTACCTGGGTGCCATGGCAGTTCCCACACCTTGTAGCTCTGCTCTGTTTGGAGCTGTGCAAGACCTGGGGCTGCCCATGCCTGTGCTGACCCTGCACTGGATGCACTGGGAGCTGTGTGGGGTGTTGATGGCCCTGCTGATGCCAGGCTTGAGTCGGCAGCACGTGCCTCACCCGCACCGCAGGCGGCTGGAGGGCACAAGGTGTGTGCAGGCATACGGTAGTCCTAGCAGTTGTAGGGTGCTGGCAGCACTCTTACCTCACGGCCTGCGCAGAGCTGCCATGGCTTTCTGAGCCACATCCAGTGTCTCCTGCAGAACTGCCTCCTACTACTGGGACTCGCAGCGGCGGCTCTTCCGGAATCTGCTGAAGCTCTACGGCATCCGCTTTGACATCTCTGTGCATGGCCAGGTACCGTCTCCTCTGCAGACCCTGCGTGTGCAGCCCTGGCAGCCTTGTCACTGGGGCTGAGTCCTCTCCCTGCTCCCTAGCTTCCTGCTGCCATCACTTCTCCCCACCCCACTGAGCTCTTTACCTCTTTCCAGAGTGTTCCAAGCAGAGCAGGAAAGTGGTCTCTCCCATTTGAAGAGAAAGTGGTAATGCCCTGAGCAGGGAGGGTTCCCTTGCTGGGGATCTGCCAGGGGTATTGTGATGTGCTGGGCCCTGCAGGCAAGGTGAGCTTGTGTGGGCAGAGGGCCTGTGGGCATCTCTGAGGGTCTTGTGGTGGGAGCACTCTGGCAGCCTGGACTTCTCTGAACATAGACAGTTAATCCCTTCTTAATTACTGTACCCTTGGGGAGAAAAGGCATGGGGATGATTATGGCTGATGCTACTCTGTGCAGCACCACTGACAAACTTGGTACTTAATTGTGCAAGATGGAGCCTGTGCTGAGAGGATGTGATGCCCCATGAGATGTCCACAGCTGGTCTGTCATGCTTAGCAGTGGCCTTTTCACCTGAAGAGCACGAAGCATGCAGTGCAGGACAGGGTGCACCACTTCTGGGTAGTGAGACCAGGCCTGGGAGGTGTGTGGAGCAGGAAAGAATAGCCAGGAGGGAGACAGGAACCTGAAAATCTTTCCTCAGAGAGACCAGAGTCATTTGAGCAGAGGGACACTGTCTGCTCTGATGTAGTTCTGTGGGTGGCAGCTGCTGGTCTCATGCAGCTAGAGGGAGGCTCTGCTGTGCCCACAGATACCTCTGCTGCCACTGAGTCACAAGCTGCTTCAATCTCTTCTTCGGCAGCCAGCGGGGTTTTGAGTCAAGACAAAAGCAGTTCCTACAGCTGGGCACAGATAAATGACCCCTGTTTCCTCCAGCACCTCCCTGGCTTTAAGCATGCTGTCCAGCAGGGCTTGTCCCACAGCCCTCTCACTCCTGTCCACTCATTGTTTCTCACCAGGCCAGGAAGTTCGGGATAATTCCTGCTGCTGTGAGCCTCGGCACCGGCATCGCATTCTTTGGTGCCGTGAGTACTCCAGACATGCTCTTTTCCTCCCATTTGTGGATTGAGATTTACCACTTGCTGTTTCCCTGATCTGCCTGCCTGGGCACAAGGCTTCCTGGGTGTCTGCCAGGGAGGGGAGAATGTCTGGCAGGGTGTTAGCTCCCGTTTTCCTGTTTGTGCTCGTTAGTGGCAATGACACTGCTGGACTGTGGATCCTGAGCACTGTCAGGGGCACACCTCGTGGAGGCCGAGTGTTTGGGTTGGCCCCGGGAAGCGCATTGCTGGGCTGTTGCTGGCCAGTCTGCTCAGCTCTCTCGGCCAGCAGCAGAGTGTGCTTCCTCCCTGTGTTTCTTCCCTTACTCTAAAGGCAGCCAGTGTCTGGCTCTGGCAGGGACATGGCATTGCCGTCATGGAGATGAGGCAGCCCCTTGTAAAGCACTTCTGTGGCTCTTCCAGCAGACTAACAGGCAGCCTGGGCTCCCCCTCCTGCCCCCTCTTTTCTCCCAGACATGCTCATCCCAGTCCCTCGCCGTGCACTGGACCAGCCCTCACCCTGCCCCCCTGTGTCACAGCCCGCGCCGCTAATGGCAGGAGCCTGGCTCAAACAGGACCTGGCTGGGTGGCCTGGGCTGGAGGCTGGTTGGGCTTGTGGCCCCTAGCACTGGACAGGTGCTGGAGTCTGGCCTGCTGCAGGGCTCGGTGGGAGCTGGGGCAGAGGGCTGGCGCTGCTGTGGGAGCTTTTGGTGCTGACTGCCCTGCTGCTTTTGTGTCTCCAGACCACGGTGGTCTGTGACCTGGTCCTGCTCTACCTGGATGCAAAGGCTGACTTTTATTGGAAGGAGAAGTTCGAGGAGGTAAGGATGGGGCTGCTTTGGAGACATGAGGTTGGAGTGAAGCTTTGCAAGCAGATTTAATTATTTTCTGCCCCTTGGTTAAAACTCAGTTCACCAAATCTGAGAAAACCCCAGTGCCCCTGGTTAAAACTCAGCTCACCAAATCTGAGAAAACCCCAGTGGAGTGGTTCTTAGCCTGGAGGAGAGGGACCCAGCTGGTGCCCGGGCTGGAGGGAAAGCTGTACCACGATCTCAGCCTCTGTTAGACAGCAGGGAGTCCCTGAGGGGGCCTTAAAACCCGACCCAGGTCCACGTGTATTCACCCTCCTCCAAACAGAATGTGGCTCCACTCCGTGGAGAGGGTGCAGCTTTTCAGCCTGTGCCCTGCTGCCATGTCCACTCAGTGACAGGTTTTCCTGCCATATGTGGTTCTGGCTTTGGCACTGCCCAGCCCTGGTGAATCAGGGAGTTGCAGGGTGTGGGCTGGGAGGTCCCTGCAGAGCAGGAGTGCTGCTAGCCCCAGCTCGGGTTGGCTTTGTCTTTATCTGGCCAAGTCTTAGAAACCTGAGGACAGATCTCCCAGCTCCCGGTGAACTACCCCAGGGCTGCACTCTCCTACTGGGGTGGAAAAAGTAATTCCTAAGGCCTAATCTCAAATCACAAATGGAGTGGGGGTCTCCAGCAATGAATCTGGTCACATGGGACCGAGTAGAGCAGTGCAGGACTGCCCACCTGGGCTGTACCCTTGTTTCTAGGAAACTGAGATGTCCCCGTTCATTTTGCAGGCAAAACCCCCTAAAGGTAAGACCGAGGCCACAGCTTAGGGCTGCGGGGAATGCTTCGCCCTGAGCACCCTTCCCTGCGGAGCAGCCTCCAGGTAGATGCAGTGGGGGCACAGCCAGAGCCCAGGTGGAGGTGGCCCAGTTCTCCTGGCCTGTGTGCACTGCTGGGGTTGGGATCTGCCTTTCCTGGAGAAATATTTGCATCAGCAGAAGTTCTTGGCTGGTGGAGCACCAGGCTGTGCAGCTCCCAGCACCGGCCGGGCAGAGCTGTGCTGTGGGAGCTCCACCTCACCGGGGAGCAGCTGGCCCGCTCTCCGCACCAGCGCCTGAAAGCACTTCGCATTCGCTCACGTTCCAGGTAACTGTGGGCCTGGATTTCCCGTGAAAAACAGGGACATATCACAATAAAGCTGTTCAGAAAGTGGGAGGTGGCTCTGCTGTCTGCTGCCCTGGCTGTGAAGGTTGGGTGGTGCCGCTGGTGCCTTGCAACACCCTGCACCCTTCAGCTGGAGGGGGCCTCAGGAGCTACCCGCATCCTTGGGGGCTCCCCTGGGAGCAGCAGGGCTGTGCTCTGCTTCTCCACTTGGGCTGTGCTTGGGGAGGATTCAAGAGCTGAGCTTAAGGCAGCAGCCCTGGGCTGGTGCTTGCTGGGGGGTGGCAGTACCTCCTGCCCCCCTGGGTCTTGCCCTCTGCCAGGGCTGATGCTTAGTGAGGACAAGTGCAGCCCTGGGCTGAGCCTGGGAGATGCTGAGCCCTGCTCTGGGCTCTGTCAGCCTGGCCCACAGGGACCGTCCGGGTCTGTGCCCGTGGGGTGCTCCCAGAGGCCCTGCAAACTCAAAACCACTGTGGAGGCGCAGCGGAGGTCTGAGCACCATTTAATGCTCCCTGCTGGGCCTGACTGGGTGGGGTGCCTATGCCCCCCTTCTCAGCTGCCCTTCAGCTGCCGCAGGTAGAACTGTGCTGCCAGCTGCTTGCTCATGGTCTTCAAGGCCAGGAAGGCGGCCGCCATCTCGGTGATGAGGAAGGCCAGGAGGAGGCTGTGCAGGGCCAGCTCCAGCGGCAGGAGGGTGACACGGCTGTCCGTCAGCAGGAAGAGCAGGAGTGGGAGCTGGATCAGGAAGGAGAGGAGGAGGAACCCGGCCAGCTCTGGCACCTGCAGGAGCAGAGCCCACTGAGCTGGGGGGCCAAGCCAGGCCTGGCCTGGGGGCCCTCTGCAGCGGTGGCACCTGGGTACCAGGGCTGTGGTGGGATGCTGTTGTGCCTGGTGCTGGAGCATCACACCTGCAGCACAGGGAGGGATGTGGCAGGAGAGGGAGTGGGTCCCCTTCACCCCCACCCCCAGGTCCTGCCTGCACCCGAGCTTCCCTCCCGGGACAGCTCCTGGCGGGAGTCCAGCAGGAACGGGCAGTGATGAGCTCTCAGGTCCCGAGTGAGAGGGTGTCCAGCTTAGCCAGAACTATGGCTGTCCCTGCCTGAGCACGGGGGGATGGTACTTACCTTCTCCTGCAGGTTCCCCACGTAGCCCAGGTAGAGGCGGGAGCCTTCAGCCACTGAGAGGATGAGGAAGGCAGCAACCAGCAGGAACTGGTAGTGCCGAGGCAGCAGGTGGTACTGTAATGGGGATATGGCCTCGTACCCGCCAGGCCTGTCCCCTGCACTCCAGGCCCAGTTTCCCACCCCCTGTGCCCCGTGCCGAGCTCCTTTCACCCCCCCTCCCGTCCCCTTTGCCCTGTCCCCAGCGCCCCAGGCCCTCCCAGCTCCCACCTCAGCTGCTGCCTGGCCCTGCCTGCTCTGCCTTCCCAGTTTAACCTCCCCTGCCCTGTTCAGTGGTTGTTCTCAGGATTTCCATTTCTGGGAGCTGGAAGAAAGTCATCTTGTGGGGGACAGGATATTTTGCTCATGTGGGTGTGGACCCATTAATTTTGAAGTGGCTCTCGTCCCCTGCTCAGCGTGGCCTCTACGTGCCCACATGCCCCATGGGACAGTACCTTCAGCAGCAGCATCATCCCCTCAGCCAGGCACCAGACTGGGAAGTAGTAGACGTTGAAGTAGAGCATCATCTGGAGGGGCAGGCTGGCCAGCACCTCGTGGGCTAGGCAGGGCAGGCGGGGGTGGGCAGGACTGCCCAGCACCCCCAGGGTTTTGCTGCCCTGAGGGAGCCTCTGCCTCACAGAGGGCAGAGTGATGGCCCCCACCATGCCAGGGGGGATGGCTGGGTAGCAAGAATGGCTGCTTGCAGCAAATGCATTTATTTTTTGCTCCCCCACATCGGTGGGTGGGTGCAGGGACCCTTCAGGTATTCCTGGCTCAGCGGCACCGAGGTGCTTTGGTGATGTGCTGAGCAAGCTTGTGGTGATAAAGCAACAGCAACCCCCTCCCCGTCTGCCGCCTGTACCTGGGTGGTAGGTGTGGGCAGTGCCACTGTCCCGCGTCTTGTTGTTGATGAAGAGGGAACTGCTGAAGGCTGCCAAGCTCCGGCGGAGGTGGCGGGGCAGAGGGGTATGTGCAGCCATGGCCAGCAGCTGAGCCTGCTTCCCCCAGCCTGGCTTGGCAGGGATTAGCCAGAAGGTAATTAGTGGGATGACAGGTTGGGCTAATGCATGGGGCCACCCGGTCATTGGCTCCCTGAGGTCAGAGCTGCTGAGCTGCGAGGAGGATGTGGGGAGGGAGAATTCCCCTGCCCTGGGATGCCAAGCCTATGCAGGAGACGCAAGGATACAGAGCGTGTCTGCTTTGCAGCAGCTGCAGGGGTGAGCAGCAGGTTGTACCCTGCCCAGCAGCGTCTCCAGGGTCACAGACTTTGCTCTGCTGTACCCTCTCCCAGCTAGGTTGTATTGATATAATTATTGCTCCAAACTCCCACAGATGAGGATGCCCGGGAGGGCATGGTGCTATTTGCAACAAATGCTTCTTCAAAACCTCCAGACTCAAGGAGCATTTTACCCATCACTCTGAGCTTCCCTGCTAAGGGCTGACCCTGGGGGTCTCCATGCTGCTCAGCCTCCCAAGCCCCATCCAGGCTCAGGGGTCCTGAGGAGAGCAGTGGGGGACAGTGTGTGAGAGGGTGGTCGAGCCAGAGGTGACTAGCAGGGGAAGGGGATGGTGCTTTGGGACCTTCACAGTTAGTCCTACACAACAGTCATGGCCTCACCTCATGATCAGCCTCTGACCCATCCCAGAAGGTGCATCAGAGCAGCTGCTGCAGATGTTGGGACAGAGTACTGTAAATGTGGTCCTTAAGGGCTAAGCACTGGCAAAGAACATGAGAAACCAAATAAAAAGATAAGTCTTCTGCTTGATAAAGCCAAAAAGAAGCTGCAAAGCTCACTGTCATATGCTGCCAAAAAAAAAACCCCAACAACCCTTCAAACACCTGGGGCTGAAAGCGTGGTTAGACCAATGTGTGACTGGCTGAAGTCCATGAAGGGCTTCCACGCACAAAGAGCTGGTCTCTCAAGGCAGGTCCGTGCTGTGAGCACAGCCCAGGGTGCATGTCCTTTCTCCAGCAGTGCTGAGCAGCTGTGCCATCACAGTGTGGCCCCACAGCCTGGCTCAGGGCAGCTGCTCCCCTGTCCTGACAGTACTGCTGAAAAAAACCCAACCCATAAACCCATGCAAAGTGGATTTCACAGGAAAAAAAAAAAAAAAAAATCTAACCAAGTGTGGAAAAAACAGACCTTGCTATAAGCAGTGGCCTGCTATTAGAGAAGGACACTGAGCTAAGGCAGGACAATGGCTGAGCAGAAAGGCCCATGAGGTGCTTCTGGTCTACTTGACCATGCCTGGACAAGACATCTGAAGGTGCCACTGGTGAGAAGAATCTCTGCTGCCTCAGGGAGAGTGTTTGCCCACAGCTGTAACACTGAACACTTCCCAGCCTGACGTGACACCTGGAAGACCTGCCCAAAGATGGTTTGCCACCACCACTCAGCTCAGCCCAGTTCTAGCCGAGACAAGGGCAACCAGCCCACAGGACAGGCCAGCAAGTTGCTACTATGGCAAAGGAAGGAGCAGCTATTTGTGTTGTCACGACCTCTCTGGGGGCAGTAAGAAGGATCAAAGCGAGGAGTAAATGCCAGTACCTGAAGCGGCAACGTTCACCCAAGCAATGTGGAAGGTGTGAAAGCCAGGGCAGAGATGGACAGATAAGGGTGAGACCACACTTAATGGCTGGGAAGCCACCTCATGAGGAGCAGTGATTATTTTTTTAAATGAAGGCTGAGGGCACAAGAGAACTAAACCTGTCACCTGGTACAATGCTGCAACGAGATGTCTGGAGGGGTTCTTGGGTGTGTGGGAAGGGAAGATGTGCTGTGCCCACCACGTGGCTCCCTGGGTCCTGCCAGCACACAGGGCGAGATGCAGGCAGGGAGAGGCAAAGCCCAGCATCTGAGGAGCAGGAGCTGGTGGAGAGCTCTGGGTCTGGGGGCATCACCTCTTGTGTGGGCAACAAGCTGAGCAACCTAGAAGATACCTGGGCAATATGGTGAAGCTAAATGTGATGGGACAGTGCAGCCAGGGGTCACTAACAAGTTGCATGTGCCCCAGCTGGTTCTAGCTAACAGTGCTTGTTCACAGTGGGAACAAGTGGTTTGCTAAGGGCTGGAAACTTTCTGTCTTGGCATGGGAGGTTGCAAAATGTGCCTGGAGAGGTGGCAGAGGAGACAACCTAGCCTTGCCCAGCTCCAGGACATGCTGAGGCACTGGACAAGGGGTCCAACACCATCCCACCCCATGCAGAGGAGCAGTGCCCGCAGGCCCATGTCAGGATGCTCAGCTGTGCTGGCAGCCCTGCCCATGACCTGGTACGTGTCCTCAGAAAAACCATGCTGCTGACTGGGGTCTTGTGTCATGGGGTGATGCTCCCAGCCCTAGCTAAAACAGCTCCTCTGTAAAAAAAGGGGGAATGGGACTTCTTCCCCACACTGCAGCCATAAGCTGGGGGAGAAGGTCCTTCCTCAGCCCCTGTATAGTCTTCAGCCTTGTGAACATGGGATTCATGCCAACTGTGGATGGCTCATGCCTAATGCTGGGTGAGGCCCCAGCAGAGGTGAAGGAGTCATGGGGCATCTTCCCAAAACTCTGCCCAGGAGGACTGCAGAGGATGCCAAGCATTTGGGTGAGCAGGAAGGCAGAGGCCTTGGAAAAGCTCAGCCAAGTTGTACTGGGGGAGCACATGGGGGTGAGAGCTGCCAGTCTCACTCAGTGTGGAAGATGTGCCAGAGCCCAGGGGAAAACCACAGAGCTGCAGGGGGTGTCACCGTGTGGTGCCCCAGTGTCCCCAGGCACCTCCAGACGGGTCCTCTGGGGACCTGCTGAAGCAGACTCTGACCATCCCACTAGCCAGACACAGGCTGCAAAGCCACCTCTCGCCCCTGAGCATGTCGAGCTGGGGAAGCAGCAGTTGCCTCCACCTGGGCAGCATGCACGGCCCCAGCCCCTCTGCAAGGGCCCTGCCTGGGGCAGAAGGAGCTGAGCAGCCTTGGCCACCTCTGCCCTCATAGAAAGCCCTCGCCCATGCTGCAGTGGGGATAGGGACATCAACATTTGCCTTTTGGGACCTAAGATGAGACTGGTGAGTTCACGTTCCCTTGTGGATCCAGCAGATATGTAATGGGGTTCAAAAAGCAGACCCCGTTCATCGCCGTGTGCGTGTGCTGGAGCATGCACATCCCTGCCTACCATCCCCTCTGGTCACACCACCTGGGAAAAACCTTGCAGGGAAACCAGAAGAGACCAGCTGAAGACATGACAGATGACTGGTGATGTTTCTACACAGCACAGATCAGGAAGTCTGGAAATAAATACAGGTGAGCTGGATGCAAGTGGGAAGCCTCCACACAAGAGGTGCTTGCACCACCCAGCAGCTCCGCAGGGTGGGTGGGCATGGGGAGAGCTGTGGCAAGCGCTGCAGTCATGTGGCAAGGGAGCAGATGTCAGGCTCTGCGGGAAAGCGCATCAGAGCGCTGCTGGAGCAAAGAGGTTTTGGGAAGGGGCAACATGCCTGAAAGCACAGGGAGCAATAAAAGGCACTCGCACTGTTTACAGGGGTGAGGGATGTGCTTGGGGCAGACCTGCCTGGGGACCCCCTGGCCCGTTGGCAGCATCCTCAGCCACACAGCGCCCATGGCAGTGCCAAACCCTGCGCTCTGGGGGCTGCTTTTCCAGTGTTCCATGGGAATTGAAACAGCAGAGCCCCAGCCTGGTAGGCACTGGGGCAGAGGAGCTGGTGGTGGTCTGCTGGGAAGGTAAGTGCGCAGTGACAGGCGCTGGGTGCATCCAAGTCTCAAAGGGAAATGACTCAGCTGTGGCATTCCCCCTTGTCCGTGGAGCTGCCATCCCGTCTCCCCACGGCAAGTGCAGCATCAGGAGGGCGCAGCTGCCAGCAGCGTTAGGAGCCTTTCCCAGTTAGCCAGGACATATCTCCAGTCCTAAGAAAAAGAAAAAAAACCAGCAGCGCTGTGAGATGACTTCCAGCATCCACATGTGCAAGCAAATGTGCTTGGGGTGCCTGGGCACTGCCCAGGTTGTCGGTCATCTGTCCCCACCCTGGCACCACCAGTGCTGCTCGGCGCAGAGGCACAACCAGCCCGGGCAAGATGGCAGCACCCTGTCCTCACACGGGACCTGAGCCCTCACTCACATGTCACTAAAACCATCCAAACACTCGTTTGCAGGTCCTCAGTTCCACTTAAAACTGAGTTCAACTATTTTTTTTTTAACTATAAACACGGCCTTCTGTCATTCAGCTGAAAATTCATGGAAAGCCACTGAATGGCAGTCACCCCCCCAGCCAAAAGGTAGCTGCCTGTTCCCAGCAGATCAGTGCACCAACACCCTGCCAAGGGGACGTAGCAGCCGTGCCCACCCAGCCCCAGCGCAGCTCCTGCCACCCCCAGCCTCACCACTCAGCCCCGCAGCATGGCACCCTGCGGGGGGTGGCTGAAAAGCAAGCATGCAGCCATAACCAGTGCCCCCACACAGGAATTAGGGACACGGCCCAAGCAGGGGGCTGGCTGTCCCTCCCCTGCCAGCCCTTCACACCCAGGACCCCAAACCAAACGTACTTGCCATGATGGACAAACAGCCTAAAAGGTGTGAAAGCAGCAGGAGACAGAGAGAAAAGACATTCAGGTTTAGGCAGTTTGGCTTCCTCCAGGCTTGCTGAGCTCCACCGTGGAGGCCAGCAGCTCCCCCCCACTGCTGGGTTGCCCATGAGATGCCACCTCCCTCTCAGCTGCAAATTAGGCAGCCAGCAACCACTTCCCAAGGTATCGGAGAGGGTGGACACAGCCCTGCCCCGGTCACTGGTGGCTGCGTGGATGCTTGACATGTTCCCCATCCCAGGGGTGCCCAGAGTGTCTGAGCTGGCTCAGGGCTGCCTGGGGACTGGGAGTGCTTCTCTCCCCAGGCTTTTGAAAAAGTCTGCTTTTATTCCAGATGTGGAAACACCCCAGGGAGAGGGACCCAGATTCCTCCCTCAGCTCTGATTCCCACTCTAAAGGCTCCTTCCCGGCTCTTGTCACCTCCCTAGTGTTTGCCTTCAACACAACATGTTCTGCACCCATGCTCTGCAGGCTCTCTTTTCTGTACAACGTTGTCCTGGTTCAGCCAGGATAGAGTAAAGTTTTTCCCAGCAGAGAGAGAGGGGGAAGGGATCTCCAGCCGGGTTATTCATACCATGCTGATGTCAGGTCCAGGGGCGGAGCCTTTTCACTTTCGCTTCTGGTGTTGGTTTTTGCCATACACGCGGCGGGTTTGCTCCTTGACCATTTAGCGGTATCTCTCTGTATATTGTTTGTCTTGTTCACTGTTATTGCTGTTTATTGTTGTTACCATTGATACTGTTGTTATTCAGATTGTTCTATCACTCTGTTATATTAAATTTCTTGTTATTTTAGCCGGGGTCTGTGTCTAACTTCCAGCCCAACTGGCGTGGGTGGGGGAGGGGCAACAGCCACGTGCTCTCTCATCCCGGCAAGAATTAAACCTTGCACAAACGTCTTAAAAACAAAGTGAAGGGAGAAAAATGCACTTTGCCTACAATCTACACCCCAACGAACTGGAGGCTGAGACACCTGGCACCATAAGCTCTGCGGGTTATGCTCTTGCAGAGTGTTGGGCACAGGCTGCACACCCAGCCCCTCCCTGCGGGTCCCCTCGACTGACTGGGTGCCCAGGGGCACCCCAGCGTCAGGCAGTGACACCTTGGTGATGTGCCAGCTGTCCCATCACATGTGTAAGGATTTGGGTCCTGGTGTTAAAGACAAACCCCCTGTGTGCAGGATGCCAGACCTGGAGGCAGCTGAGAGGTTGGAGTGAGTGGGACAGGAAGGAAGATGCAAGATTACAGGGTGGGGAGCAGTGGAAAAGAGCTGCCCAGTGCCTGTTGGGGTCCTGCCTTGGGATGCTCACCCCTGCCCTGCACCCCACGGCTATGCTCGGCCCCTGCCCTGGCACTGCTGGTTCTGCAGCATGTCTACTTACTCCACATCACGCTTTCGGATGGTCCTGCCGGCAGCCAGGACCTCAGCCACCTTGGACACGATAGGGTCATAGTTCATGCTGGCTACGGCCATCACCTCGTCGCTCCTAGGGCCAGACAGAGCAGAGCAGTTAGGGCAGCCCAGGGTGGCCATGACCCCATCACCTCAAAAACAACATGCTGGAGAGAAGCAGGAAGCAAAGAAAGAGAAAGACCCACTCCAGGGTCAGAACGCATCCCAAGGCGTGAGCACCACGGGGACTGTGATAGCAGTGGGGGACAAGGGACAGGAAAGGGCTCAGAGCTGGCACTGCAGGCTGGTCCCTCTCTGGTCTCACTGGTGCCCACATGCTGGCATGGTGAGTGTCACTAGGGTGCCCAGGGGACAGAGACAGCTCTGGGCACCCTGGCATCTGTGGGAAAACGCCAGCAAAGATAGATCTGATGGTGGATAAAACCCTCGCTATCAGCAAGGATGCCCAGTGGCTGCGGCCCTGCGGGTGGGCGATCCATGCTTTGCTGCCTGTACCACAGGAGCGGAGAAGCGGGCGGTCAGGATTCCCCTGCGGGATGCTCGGTTGTGCCACTCCACATCCCCTTCCTGACCCCCACCTCTGAGCTGCTCCACAGGCGTGCTCCTCCCAAAGCACTGGGACAACTGGAGTGTCTGACGCCAGGGTCCCACCAGCCCTAGTGAGGAAACTCCTGCCTATATGGGGTGTTCAGCAGCACTCCCAGTATGGCTGACCATTACCCACCAGGACATCAGTGCTGGTGGCACAATGCCACCTCAAAGGCTGAATGGGAAACAAATGAAGCAGAAGGGAAGATGATGTAAAAATGCTGGGGGAACTTTGGCTAAAGGTCACAAGGCAAACAAAAAGGGTTCTTCTGTTTTGAGGCTTGAAAAGATCAACCTGAGCATGTCTTCAAAGACAGAACCCAGGAGATGACTCATAAATAGAAAACTGAATGGGGAAAAAATGTAAAGATCAGAGAAGGTGCATGGGTAAAATATTAAACATTGGTGATAATGTTGGGTAAGTTGAAGAGTAGAAGCACCCAACAAATCAAGATCTGCTCTTCAATCCACTGCCAAAGAACTCCATGACCAAGAGCAAAGAACAGCCAGGAAGGAAAGGGGGAAACATGTACTTTATTCCTGAGAGGAGGAGAGCAGAAGCCATGCTTCATCTCTGTGGAGCCATGGGAGCTGCAGCAACCTCTCCCAGCTGTCCCACAAAGCCATGGGGTAGCTCCATCACAGAAGACTATTGCAAAAGGCTCTGATTCCTAAATAAGCTCACTACAAATAAGGGAGAGCCAGTCAGAAATGGAGCAGTGGACTGACTTCCCTGTCCTTTGGGTGAGCACGGGTGTGCAGAGCAGACCAGGGACCCAGAATGTTCTCTGGAGCCACTGGAGCTTGTCCACAGCTTAGTCCATGCCAGCCAGACCCAGAGAGGGACCAACACCAGCCAGGCTCCAGCACAGGGTGCTGCTCCTCAGGAATGGCTACAGGAAGGGGGAGCTGCTGCACTGCCAGGAGCTCTAGGACAAGACTTGGATGCCATCAGAAATCCAATCTCAAGCATCCTTAACTCGCTGCAGAGATGTGTACCTACAGCAGAGGGGACTTCTGAACCAGCAGATGAGGTGAGAATAAGGAGTAACCGACAGATGTTGACAACAAATACATTCACACTGGAAAACAGGTGTCCGTGGCAGGCAGTGAGGGTAATTAACCACACAAGAAGATTACAAAGCACGTGTGTGTTCAGCTGAACTGCCTGCTGGGCTGTCACGTTCAAGGACTGCTGCTGTGATTTAGAAGAGCTTTTTACTTTCTGAGCCTGCATCTTCTCTGTTGTGATGCTTGACGTCCCACCTGATGTAAGGAGTTCCTCCACTCTTCCCAGGACAGGACCCCATTCTCTAGGGGTGTAACTCCAATTGTATGTGCAGGGACTCATGAGTCTTCTTTACAGGATTTCCTTCCAAGACTCTTGCAGCAGTACCTGATGACACAGCAGGGCAGATTGCCTCCCAGGTCCAGAAACACAAACTGCCAATGAGAACCCCATCCCACCATGAACCACATCCCAGGGAGGCCCTACAGGTAGTTGTTTCCATCACACAGGGCCTTGGCTACTTCACCATCACTTGATGTCTCCAGCACACAACGGGGGCTGAGGCTTCAGGACTCCTGGGAGGCTCTGCACAACCTTCACATCATACCACACAGTCTTGAAGTTCAATAATTTCCTCTACATTTAGTTTCCTGAGCACAGGCAGCTCCCAGTTGGGAAACACAAAGTGGTTGGAGAGACCTATCCATCAAAACCAGGGGGAGATGTGCTGTTCCAAGGGAATGAATAACCAAAAGCATGCAAGAGAAAGGAAAGGAAAATGTGATCCCACCAGTCACCCACCAACTCAGCCTTAAGCCCAGCCACTGCTGACACGACCACCCGGGAAGGTGGATGCAGCCCAAACATTTCCATCAGTGGGGAGCTGGTCCTTTTGTGAAATAACTCACGGGGCACTGGTGAGCTGAACATCCCCACATCAGCAGTTGCTTTTAAACATTTTGTCTAACAGATGGGGAAGCCTCTTTTTCAAAAGCTCCTCAGAGGCAGCAAGAGTGCCCTTCCTGAACCTGGGTCTTGGCATAAAGGCTGAGGGAAGATGGAGCGCTGTGGATGAGCACCATGTCTACACCATGTCCCTTCCTCTGTAGGGTTCAGTGCAACAAAAGTGGGGAACTGTGAAGACGACAACCACAGCAATTCCCTGTACCTCCCAAGATCTCCAGGGTCTCAGGGGTGGGATGACATTGGTCTGTTCTGGCTGAAGTGCTTGGTGAACACAGGGTCCCATGGGGACATCTGCAGAGCACCGTCCCATACACCTCCTGGCACAGGGCTTCACGCTGACCCCTCCACATCACACAGCCCTGAACTGGGATAAGGAAACAGCTTTCTTCTTCAAACTCTGAGGAAAAAAGAGCCTTATTGTAAAAGTCGATGATGAAGACAGGCTCCAGGAGTGGAAACCACCAGCGGTTCATGCAACAGCCAAGACAGGGCGCACTAGGAGGAGAAGAGTCCAAACCATTGGGTGAGCATGGCAGAAGGAAGCAGGAGGGGATGGTCAATCTGGGACAGAGTCCTCAGTCCAAAAGCACCAACCAGAAGAACTATCACCAAATGAGAAAAAGAGGAAGAAATGCTCCCAGTGGCCTCTCACAGATGCAGAGACGGGGGCTTGATTACAGCTGAGCAAAGCAGCAGGAGATGCACTGGTCAGCCCCCTGCCAGACAGCACTCCCCCAGTACCTCCGGCTCTCAGCGCAGGATGCCATCCTGGTACCCAGAAGCCATCTCCAGGAGCTCCTCCTGAGCAGCAGAACAACACGCGCTTAGCGGTGGCCCCCTGCTGCCTGCCTGCCCACCGAGCCCAGCTTTGCTGCGTGCCCGCAGGTCTGCTGAGCATGGAGCCGCTGCACAGAGCAGGGATTTGCACCTTGCTCAGGGCTTTCCTTTTGAACAGGCTCTACAGATGTTTAATTAAAGCAATCTGACATTTCCTTTCTAAATAGGGCTGGGATGAAGAGCTAAATGCTCTGGTATGGGAAGGAGGAAGAGGATTCAAAGAAGATTACATGCTGGAAAGAAATGTGTGCCAGTGTGGTCTGTGGATGCTCGACCCCATAATGCTGCACACAGGGGACTGCCAGTGAGGCCAGCGGACCTGAGACAGGGCAATGCCATGGCAGTGGAGTGGCTTCACAGGGGATGCAGGGGCAAAAGTACACACAACTCTGCAAATCACTGCAGCAAAACTGCCAAAAATGGGGTTTTATCTTCTGCTGGCTCACACTCACTAAGCAAACTGTGTATTTTTAAATGCTGCTTTGAGAGTTACGTAATTTAAATGCACTTCAAAACATCAAGAGGGTGGGGAGAGATAGACCCGTGGCTGTGGCTACAGAAGCGGAATGTCCCCTTGCAGCAGCTCTCCCCAGCACAGGTGGTGCCTTGCACAAACCCACCCTTTCAGGGAATTTTGGACACGGTGCTAGTGAGCTCAGAGGTACGCCCATGTGCAAAGGGCCCCTGGGTGCCAGCAGGTGCTGGAACCCCACTGCCTGCAGCAGGATTTTATCTGAGGTGCACAAGCACCAGGAGAAGGAGGGCGAGTGCCGGTGACCTGGCTGGCTGGTGTCATGGGGTGATATAGTGAGCCCTGTGCCTCTCCAAACCCGATGGAGACTGCCAGGCTCCATCCTGGAGCCATGGGGGCAAGCAGCCACCCTCGCGGAGTGGGATGCAGAGGGGAGGTCATGAGGGACATTGAGCAAGGGACAGAGGGGCAGCTAACCCTGCTGAGATGATCTCTGCAGAGCAGAGCTGGTGCCTGCCCAGAGCTGCCTCCTGATCCCTGCCTGAGCGCTGCTGCCAAGTAGTTTGATTCTGAGCCAGGCAGACCTTCACTTCCTTGGTTTCATGCTCCCCATCCTTAATATTAGAAAACACTGGAAGAAATCCCCTCCGTCTCCAGGCAGGAGGAAGCTCTGTGGTCATTGATTTCAGATTGGGATGGAACAATGGCAACAAAAGAATAAACAGCAGTAAATATTTTGGGGATAAATTCATGGTGCACAGTCTTGCCAGTCTAAACAGCCAGCATGGCTCAAGAACAGCAGAGGCTACACATCTCAGGAAAATATTCCCATGTAGGATCCCAGCCTGGGGAGAGCTGGGTTTCGCTACAGGTTTAATGAAAGCTCCTAAACTCTTCCCAACCATCACAGCTTGTTAATGGAAGAGTTTTTTGAGCTGAATGTGTCAAACCAGGAGCAGAAATGGTGATGTCTGAGCTCTCAGTCCAGCCCTGGTCACAAATCGTTAACACAGTGATGAGATGGCAATGAAATCTTTGATGGGAATTGCCAGCAACAAATTAATAGAAGCCATTATCTGCTCTCAGATACTATGTGAACAGAAAAAGTGCTTACGTCTGGCAGAGACATTAAGTCCAAAGACCAGTTTAACTTGCTTTATGCTTAGCACATCATTTTTCTAGGGCATTTTATTAATGTCTTGCAACCTTAGTGTCCAGAGAGGAACAAAACCAACTGACAGAATCTGTGACAAAAATATTTTCCAGTCTAGCGAAACAAGTTTGGGTGAATGCCTGTGTAGGAACATGCTGAAACACTTACTTGGTATAGAATGCCACAAACTTCAGCTCATCTAAATCTCCCTGAATGACAACATCATCAAATCCTTCCCCATGGCCTGGAAGGCAGAGAAGTGGATTCAGCAACAATTCTCCTGGATCGATCTCTAGCCCGTAAGACAGAGTTTCAACTCAGAGCTACAGAAATTGTGTCCCGCAGTTACCAAGAGACCAGCACCAGAAGGTGAGGGTATCAAAAAGCACCCCTTATTGTTCAGAGAAGTTCAGGGAGACTGTCTCTGTCCATGCTGGGCCATCCCTTGTGCCCTCAGCCATCCCTCTGGCCCTGCACCCCACAGCCATGATCAGACAGGTTTCAGGGGAGATACTAAACCCCTCAGGAGCCAGGAAGGGAAGCAGACCCGAAGCAGAGGTTGTCATGGAGGGTCCACAGCAAGGGAGATGGCTGCGGCTCCTCTATCCCTCTATCCTCTATCCCATCTCCACCAGCACAAACTCTACAGCAGCCCTGGGGACCCCCTTACCTGCATATCGGATGCTCTTCCCAAACATAGCAGTCCACAAATAGGGGACCGTGCTGATCTCCATGCCGTGGGCCAGCATGTTCAGCGCGGCTATTCGGCCTGGAAGTGAGAAGCAGCAGAATAAGCGAGGAAGCTCCGTGCCGGGGCAAGCATTGTGGTCTGCCCTCAAGTTGCAGCACAGCATCGATACCTCTAGTCCCAGAGTACAGGGAAACCAAGACCTTCTGATTAGGTGGAAAAACCCAAACACAGAGCACCAAGCACCAGTGAGGAAATGCATCGTGTCATCTGAGGCTGGGCTCAGAGTCCCCCCGGCAGTGCAGCTCCTCCTGACTCGTCTCCCCCACTGGCATGAGTGATGCGCTCCTGAGCCTGTTGCAACCCAACTTCTGCAGCAGTGAGAGGGCTGAGAGCTTTCTGAGCTCCCACTGCAAATGGGGGTGGGATGGACAAACCCCCTGAGGGCATGGAGACTGTTAGGGTACAGTCCATGACACAGAGGCATGCCTGGACCAGCGTTAAGGGGGGGCTGTTGTCCAAAGGCTAACTTTGGAGACGTGGTTCCAAAACCTCTCACGCAGGGCATCGACCCAGAGGTCAACCTCCCCACGGGGTTGTGGCCTTGGAAAGCTCAAGGGCAGCGGATCACACCGGGGTTTCCAGGCTTGCTGCTGTGAAGGGAGAAAGGTCTCAGCTGTTCCTGGGCCAGCCTGGAGGTGTGGGCAGCCCAGCCGGGGATGTGAGCTCGAGCTAACATTAGGATGTGAGCTCCTAAGTGTCCTAGGGCAAGGAGATCAGGCCCCTGCAGCAACTGCAGATGTCAGGGAGGACATGGTGTGCGGGAAAGCCTGTCCCTGAGCACCTCTATGTTTGCAATGAGGCATCGTTAGGCAGCGCACATCAGGAAGGCTGACAAATGAAGGCATATTGGACAGGATAAAATATACAGGGTTCAAAATGTTTAACACAACTACCTAGTTTCCCTGTTGGCAGTTGTCTCATTCTCTTGCTAGAGGGCTTGGGAAATTCCCACGGATCTGGAAAAGGCTATTTCCATAAGAAATTTACTGTTGCAAAGAGAAGGGACTGAAAAGCACCCACCATGCATATGGGCCATCTGCCAGTGAGGGACGTTCACCTTCTTATTATTCCTCAAGGCCAGCGGGAACGTGACAGCATCACCAGCTGCAAAGACTCCAGGGATGTTGGTTTGCATCATCTGCAGGGGGAAGCAGGAGTGTGCAGTCAGTGGGGTTTGCACTTTCCTACAGAAACAGGGAACTGCTCTAGAGCTGCCACAGTCCCCATGAACACAAGGACAACCTCTGGTCAGCTGTGGGACCCCCAGGTGGGATTTGTTTTAGCGCCCTTCACTTTCAAAGCAGACCATGCAGGCAGGACCTACAGCATCCCACTGCCAGCGGGTTACTTGGTGAAAAGACACAGACTGGTATCCTGGAGCCCCTCTTAGAAGACTGAGATCTGTCAGTGCTTGCAAACAGAGCCTGGCTTATTGCACATGTGAGCAGTAAGCACAGGAGTAGGTAGCAATGAGCCCCAGCACCCCCAACTGGCTCTACCCACCAGCACCAATACCGCTCTCACTGGAGTCACTGGTGGTGAGGAGGAAAGACTGAGATCCTTTGGGATCCCTGAAAGGGTGGATCTTTCTCCAGCTCTTTAGCCTCCAAACATCCACACCATTCCAGGACAGCTCAGAGCTGGGCCCAAGCCACAGGATCCAGGGCTGGGATTTGCAAACCCCTCGCTTGCAGGGGGTTCCCAGGTACTCCAACATGATGTTCCCAGCACTTTGGCAGGTGAAATGCCCCTGCAACAGCAGTTTGGAGCCCCAGGGAAGTTCATTTTGGAGGAGAGCAGACTCAGCTCCTCCTGTTCTTCCCCCTGGCAGGAGCTGTCCCCCAGACTCACCTTGTTTACCACAATGAAGCCTTTGGAGTCGATATTGATGCCACTCTGCTTGAGAAAGCCCGTTGCTGGGACTGCGCCTGCAGGAGAAGGCAAGGGCTGCCGGTGCTGTAACCAGGCATCCCCACAGCCCCTGGGGGGCTGATCTCGAGGCCAGCAGATCTACCCCCCTGCCTGGGCAACCTGTCTGTGCCAAGGGAAAGGCAGCGGGCTACTTTGGGAGCAGGAAGCAGAGCCACATGCCTTACAGAGCCCCCACCAATCCCACTACATCACCCTCTGCACCCCTGAGGTCCCTACTGCTCTGCAAACCATCAGTGCATCACTGTAATCTGCCCACCACCTTTTTATAATGTTTGAAGATAATTTTCAATCCACTTCTCTTTATAGACATTTTGAAAAAAATATATTTAAAAGGGAGCCCTTGGGTTTCCAGACAGGGTTCCTCCACCTCCTGTACAATCTGTACCTTTCCTTCAGCTTTATTTTTTTTTTTTTTTTGTCTTTTTTTTCCTCTAGCCTTCACAAATCAGAGTAGCCAATAAAACAACAAAAGCAGAATTAAACAAATTCTGTGATTCTTCCAGTTCATAACATTTTGAAATGTTACAGAGCAAGAAAGGGAATTTTATTTCCCCCAGATATAAAGGAGAAAAATACCCTCTTCTATGGTAGTGACAGCAATTAAAATTAAAAAAAAAAAAGAAAATTCAGTTTGGGGAGGCTTTAAAAAAAACAAACAAACCTTGAGGATGAAATTGGTTTGAATAGGGTTTTTTTCTGGGAAAAACAAAACCATTACTATTTTCCAAATATATATTCAGTTGCATTTTGGGGTGGAGGCTCTAAAAAGGCCCTTTTCAGCTTTTCTACACAGACTCATGTGTGGCAGCTGAGCACATCATCGCCACCACCCCCCGCTACCTGGCCCTGGGGACCCATCACTGCCATGTCCCCTCCAGCTTCTCCTCCACTGAGCAAAGCACCACCAGCCCACCAGGCTCTGCACCCACGGCAACAGCCCCTTACCAACACCAACGACACACACATCGGCACGCAGGACCTTCCCGCTCTTCAGCACAACCTCCTTCAGCTGCATTAGACACAGTGGGACATCACAGTTATTTCAGGGACAAGCCCCCACCTCCCTGTAGCAGTAGCAAGCCAAGCTGGCAGCTTGCTTCATTTTTGACATGCAAGTTGACCATAATTCATTGTAACAGCATCAGGAAGAGGGTGGGAGCAATGAAACCACCCCGCACATCGTGCTGGAGCATGTTTGCTCCTAGGGACTAAATCCAGGAATAGGAATTTCAGAGGGTAGGAAAGAGTAGAGGGCAAAACCCCAGTGGCAAAGGGAAGGGCAGCCCTGGGGGGATGCTGTGGTGGTGCCCCCAGGGAGCCCCTGCCCACACCCTACCTTGCCCTCCTGCTCCCGCAGCTCCGACACCTCTGTCTGCATGTAGAACTTCACCCTGTTGCTCTCAAACATCTGGAGGAAGGACATGGGACAGAGCAGGGGACATCAGGATTCTGAACCAGGCCCACCCCTGGTGTCCCCCTGGCCCCCCCCACTGCCCTGCCCACCCTCTGGGCTCGCCTTGACCCCTGTTGCAAAGGGGGTCAGCACCACCTCTGACCCCAACATGCATCCAGAAGGAGGTGCTCTACAGCATGTGGACCACAAGAGGGAAGACACAGCCCGTTCTTTCTTTCTAGAGACTGTTACCATCACAGCTTAATCAATAAACATCAAATAACACATTAATTAGTGCAATAAGTGAGATAAGCAGAACCCGCTGTCACCAAAACCACCCCCCAGATGGGAAAGCGAGGTCACCTTCATGACAGCACGGCCAACCTTCTCCCCAAGGAACTTCTTGAAGGGGACTTCCTCCAGCTCCACCAGGGACACAGAGTGGGCCCTCTCCGCGAGGTAGGCGGCCACCTCCATCCCTGGGAAACAGAAGCAGGTCCGAGCGGCCGCGGGAAGCCCCCAGTGCTGGCCGCAGCGGAGGAGCAGCCCCGTTCACTCCTGGCTGGGGAGATTGGAGCTGCTCTACCGGGAGCTCTGGGGTGCCATCAGACCTGGTGGCCACAAGGGCACACACCATTTCAGGTGAGATTTATGATTTATGGCAATTTGTTCTTAGATGCAGGTTTCAAAGACTGAAGGGAGGAACTGGCCATGATGAAGTCCCAAAGTGCCCTGGGAAGCTGCAGCACTTGCAGCAACAGACCTCAGATGAGGGAAACCTTCCTCTTAGGGCTGGGACTGTCTCAGCAGTGGTAATGAGCTGAGGGCGGAAAACAGCCCTTGTGACTAGCTGTTTTCTCTGGTCAGAATGGGAGAATTTTGGTGCTGGTAATTGCATGGGAATCTTCACCAAGACATTTTCTATCTATGGGTCTTTTTTGGAAATGGATCTTTTTGATGACCAGTAGTTTACAGTTGGGTCATCTCCCCCCATGCTTTGCTGTAGGTGGGATTGATTGGACCATTAAACCAGGATTTTTTTTTTAAAAGAAGAAAAACACACACTGAACATTTTATAATAAATTCCCTTACTAATACCCATTTATGCTTAAGGTTTGCAGAACAACAATTTTGTTAGAAACACATCAAGCAAAAAGAACCAGCAAAGAAACTATAATATTTTTCCTGTGCATTTAAAAAAGAATCACCACCCTGCTAAAAAGCAAAAGAGAAATAAACCCACAGGCTTTCACCTACCAACAAGACCCTCCCAGCTGCAGCCAAATCTTGACACACCAGATTTGAAAGCACCCAAGCACCAGCACTAGACTTGCCCAGTATGCTTTTCAGACTGGGACAGCAATAACTGTGTCCATGCAAGCTGAACAGCCCAGTCTCTTCAGTAAAATCAATTTCTGCATCAAGGAGATGTCCTTACCACCCACCTGGGGCTGGAGGTTAGACTACCCCAAGGTCCAGTTTAGGGGGTGGGGGGTTACCTCTAACTGGGCAGTGGCACTGGGTGAGGGAATGGGACCATCTGCAGGAAGATGCGGACAGCTGAGGTGCAGACAGCCGCAGAGCGAGCGCTCACCCAGGAAGGATGCACCCACGATAACCACATTCTTGCTCGTGGCCAGCTTCACGACACGGTTGGCATCTTCAGGCGTCCGGATGTTGAAAACATTTTCCACCTCCTTGCCTTTGCAGCTGAGAGCTTTGGGCCTGAAAAACACACATTGAGGGCGATACAGGTGCTTTCTTTGACCCTGTGGTGACAAACAGGACTGCAGACCCTCTTTCCAGGCCTCCAGCAGCATCTCAGTCTTTCCTTTTTTCACCTTTCTCTGGGCTGGAGACGTAACACAGAAAACCCCAAATGCTGGTGGGCAAGGGGCTGCTCAGTGGCCGCTGCCGACCCCATCCCTGGACCCATGTAGCCATGGGGCTGGGGTGAGCTCCCTCTGGGGCAGTGCAGCACAGCACAGGACAGGTACAGCTTTTCAAGCTTGTGCTTTAACTGTCGTCATGTTTTAAAATTTTCTGGAGTTTAATGGGACACAGAAAACTCACTCTGTCCTCCAGCAGACACTTTGGAGCCAGATACTGAAAGTTTCATAAGCCTCTGCAGATGCAGGTTCCACTATCCATTTCTAGGGGCACACTGCTGATGCTGTAGCAGATTAATCGTGTCCTCTCCACGTGCCTACTGGAGCCTATATATTTTTAAATATCTGGCCCCTGCATAGCTGACTCACATCTGGAAGTGGGACAGACAGTCTAAAAAATGTAGGTATCTTAAAAACATTTATGTGGTGTATCTGGAGCTTGTGCATAAGGATTTTGAAATTATTGCCAAAGGCATAATCCTCTTTTGAACATAATTAGGTGGCGGTTGCAGAGGGTGTTTTGGCTGCGGCGCTGCACATCCCAGCACCAGCCATTGCACTTGGTGGGGCTGTTGCTGTTACTGGTGGCACACTAGGTCACAAGGGGAGTCCCTGCTCCGGCTGTTCAGCAGCATCCCTTCCCCAGATGATAAATTTTGCAGGGGCTGCTTTTCTCCTACTTCATTTTGACCCTTTGTGTTAGGAGCGCAAGGAAAAGCAGCCAGGATGCCTTATTTTCATTTTAAAGTGCCAATTTTGACAAATCCCCTATCGAAAACAAATTGACCCTCTACTTCCAGGGACGATGTGGTCTCGGGTGATGCTCTGGGTCCCAGCAGCAGCTGTGTGGAGCACGACAAGCTCATCGCTACTGCTTTTCCCTATGGCTGGACCAGGTTTCAGTCTTGAAAACTTTCCTCCTGGGGGCAAGCCTCACAAAGGGGTCTGTTAGGCTGAGGCAACAGCAACATTTAATTAAAACTGCAACAGAGAAGCATTAAGCTTTCATTGTTGAGAAAAATCTTAAAAGATTGTCAGGAAATGAAAAATGGAAATTCAGATGGATGAATTATCTGATTGTCTGATTGAGGGGTGAAAAGAAGAGCAACATGGTAAAAATGACCTCTACAGAAAAATTCAGGATACTTCCACTTTGGAGGCTTTTGCTAATGAAAATATGTTCAAGGTCCTGGGCATTAATTTTAACACTTTAAGGTGATTTACTCAGGGGGAATTTCCTGAGTCTCTCCCATATACTCTCGAGCCAGCCCCCAGGGAACAGCACAGCATTAGGGTGCTGCTGGCAAACTCCTCCACATTTTCAAATCTCAGTTTGTACCAGTTTCTTTAAGAGCAAACAACACACAGACCCCGACTGCTTCAGGGGGTACTTTTTGTTAATACCCTTTTGACCTTGACACTGACCATAAAACACCCCAGTAGCAAATCCCACAGCTGTGCCACCAGCCCCCATGTCTGGTGGTTACCTGCTGTCTGGGTGACTCTTGGCTGACACAGGCTTTTCCACTTTGGCTGAGCACAGCACCCAGCACAGCTTTATAGAGATAGAGATATACATGATATAGATATATACACAGATGTATCCAATAGGTATTCCTTGACTTTCCTGCAAACACTCTTGCAAACAAATTCAGTGTCCAAATTAAACCACCATATTTGACCCTGTATCCCCAGGCACAAGCTCCTCACATTCTCAGATAAAACAGTTTCTCATGAAATGTTTGCTCATAGCTTACGTGTTTCCAGTCGCTATCAGCAGCTTGTTGTATTCCATCTTAAATCCATCCTTAAACACGGCTGTCTTGTTCTTTATATCCACGGCCGCAACCTGAAATCATTCCTAAATAATGTTAAGGGATGAAATCCCAGATGTTCACTGAGCTCCCAGCCCAACTAAATTCTCTGTTAGGTTTTAGTCTCCTGTGTTCCTGTCCACAGCTTAGCCAGTCCAGACTATAAATATTCCTAGTTACCTTTTCACAAATCCTTGAAGACCTCCCAGTATAAATAAAATAATGGGGAGAAATGTTTAAATGATCGCTGTCTGCAGTGCTTGCAGGCTGATTATTCTAGTCAGAGGCCAACTGGTCACCCCGGATCCACATGAGGATGCTCACAAATGGCAGGTAAGAAACAATGGCTACCACTGTTTGTGCAGGGTGTGCTTCCTGCTCTGGGAGGAATTGCATTAATTGTGGTTTTGAACAACCATGGGCAACCTGTGCTCTGGGGCACAGGGGGAGAAGCAATGTTTCTGCAATGGCATCCAGTAAGCCAAGAACAGAGACAGCTGCCACATCTCCTAAACACAGCCTTTGCACACTGGCACTTGTAGGATATGTCTTGCAGGTCCACATAGGACCCCCCTTACCTGCATTTCGGTCAGGACTTCAATGTCATGGGTGCGGAAGAACTCCTTGGGGCGTAGGGCAATCTGCTCTGGGTGGGAATCCATCGACTGCAAAAAAAAGCCATTTTTGTCAAACCACTATGGGTTGAACAGGCGAGTGGAGAAACGCCTGTGACTGACAGAGGTCAGCAGTAGTCTGAAATCAGTCCTTATGACATAGGTTAAGAGAGAGGCTCTACAGGACCTGGGAATCAAAGCCTGTTCAAGTAAAAGCCATCACCAGATGCTGGACTGGGCTCTGGTTGCTTCTCTGCTCGGTGTGGGAGTGGCACTCACTAGCTAAGGCAGGACCACAGCAAGTGCTCCCGAGTGTTTGCAAAGCAGCTCTTACTGCAGCCCCTCATAACACAAATTTCATAGGAGCAAAGGAAGAGCCCTATTATTTGGAAAACAGCCAGTTGCCAGGGGGAGTGGAAGCTAAATTAACTTCAGCAAAGGCAACGCTTTCAAAAGCACCCAAGTTACGCAGCACAAGTTCCCTCAAAAGCTGAAGCAGGGGCATGTGGCCCATATCTGCTCATCTTTTGCTGCAAGATAAAGGTTCTTGCTCTTCCCAGCCTTCCCTGGTCACTTCGGTGAGACCTACATCATCTTTACAGGCAGAGTTGAGCTCACGTTTGAGCCCAAGTTCATCTGTCCTAACCCTGTGGACAGAAGCTCAGATGTAGGGTAAGGACAAGCGGAGCACCAAGTGACCTGTGTGCAGGTTGTTCCATGCTTCAGCACACCCCTCCCTGCCTGCAGCACAGCAGGGACAGGCGAGGCCACAGACATGCCCTGGCCAAGCCCTGCAGCATGTCCCCCAGTGTTGAGCTGCAGCATCCTTCACCTGTGCCAGAGGCATGGCATCTGGGCTTGACCCAAGAGGGACAGGGGCTGCAAGGATCGGGGGCTGCACCATCTGCCCCTGGGGATGGACGTGCAAGGGATGGATGGATGTGCAAGGTCCTTCTCCCTGGAAATGTCTGTCCACGCCTGGGATGAGCCCTGCAGGACGCTCCCTTACCGTGACTTCAGGTAACACCGCGCTCAGAACAGACCCTTATCTTAGGGCTTGAGGCAGGGGCAGGGTCATACAGGTTTTACTGCAAATTCTTTAAACACCCAAATGTTTACAGAGAGGAATGTTTGACCGCACGGCTCGGGAGCGGCAGCCCCCACCTCAGAGGGCAGGGAGGGCAGCTCAGAGCAGGGCACAACCACCACAGGTTTTGCTGCTGCTGAGTGCTCCAGAGACCATTGCAGGGACGTTGAAGCACACCAGGGAGCAGGTCATGGTCCAAAGGGGACAAAGAGGACAGCCCGGCGGGACCTCAGGACATACTGATAACTGGTGTTCAACGGGGCAGAGGAAGGGCAATGCTGCAGTATCAGGAGACAAGAAGTCTGCTGCTTACAGCTTTACACACTCCTGCTCTAAAGACTCTTTCCAGGGCTAGTCCCACTCATAGTAGGATTAAGAAAAATCCTCTTTTTTCCTGGCCTGTTCCCAAAAATTCTGCCTTCTCTTCCACAGGCTTTGTGTACCAAAAGCAGCTACAGCCAGAGGTGTTTAGTGGAGAGTTTAACAAACCATGCACAACATCTCTGGCATGTGAGATGCTCTTACTATTTAACAGAGAGTAGAAAAGGCAGTTTAAGACTCAGAGAGTGGGGATAAGTGTTTCAGAGAGCTGCCTGTCCAGGATAGTGACTGTGAGCTTCTCTGAGCTCCCCAGCACAACCTCTGTGACTCTGGGATGCAGGTTTCAGCCAGCTGCTCCTCACCCCAAACAGGTCTGGTCCAAGCACAGAAATGGTTTGAATGCTGTCAAAAAGCTACATGCATATTTGCTTTCCTTTGAAAATAACTTTGTCTTGGGGCTGGAAGCAGAGTTAGATGCTGTGACTGTAGAGTACCAATATGCATCCCTGACATAAAGGGCAATACATATACCACCTCCAGGCTTCAAGATCTAATGCTGTTGTCCAACCTGAGTTTCTGTCTGATAAAAGGTAAATCTCAGGAATCAGTAATAAAAAATGTGATTAGAAGATCATCCTGTGTCTACAGATTGGAATGCAGACTGGGATGTGTGCCAGAGAAAGTGATCTTTGCACTGTGGCCAAGTTACCAAGTTGTGATGATGACTGATAATCATACTAATTATGGCATGGAGCATCACTGGGCAGTAAGAACCATGCACTAATAACTAACTTGGTAGACAATACAATTTTTTGACAATGCCCCATTTCATTGCCCTAAAGATTTTGATCCAGAAACATAATAAGATCCATCCAGGTATGTGCTGGTCAAGACAGCTATTGCTAGACCTATGAAGAATGTCCTTGCTTCTGCACCGGAGTACTCTTAGTTCAGAGTTTGAACAAATCCTCTTTTGTGTTTCATATTTCAGTTACCAACATAAAAGAAAATTCAAGGAAAAACAGAGACAGGACAAATAAGGAAGAAGAAACATGCTGCTGCAATGAATAACAGTGGGGAAAGGTACTAGGTCAAATTTTAAAGCTGGGGAAGAATGTGACATACCCGAAGTGATACAAACCTTACTGAGCTTTGGTCTGTCGTAGGGCAAGTGTCTGTCCATCGTGCACATCACAATCCTGTCTGAGAAACCCTCCTGGCGCAAGGTCTCTGCACAGACCAGTCCAGCTGCCCCTAAGGGAGAGGGAAGGCTGTTGGCAGCCGCGCATACGGGCCACTTAAAGGTCTGAACCCTTTGTTCCTTAACCCCGCTGGGGTTGACTCCAGAATCGCCATCTCCACTAGCCCTGGCCTTACTCTGTGGCCCTTCCCAAATCAAACAGCTTGCATGGGGAGCCAGCTGGAGTGGACGCACCAGGCAGAGGCAGGGATCCTCTGTCCGTGGAGCATGACACTGATCCTCTGGGGGACTTATCTGTCCCTAAACTCACACAGACGCACAAAAAGCACAGCTGAGGAGTGCTGCCAACACCTCCACACCTGTCACAAGCTCGGGGGCATGGGTGGCTGCTCGGATCCTTGCACTCCCCTAGTTGGGGAACGGTCTTGCAGCTTCCTCCCTGTGCACTCAGCTCCTGGTGAGTTTACAGCCGAACACATAGGGCAGGGAGTATTCCCTTTGGAGAGCTGAAGTGTCAGCTGTGTGCTTCACTGTAGAGGATTTTTCATGCAATTGCTTTGAGGGGGTTTTTTTGCTTGTTTTTAAACACAGAAAAAATGCTAAAATAAACAAAAAGCTGCCTTGGGGTGTGCTGTCCCCCTGCAGCCAGTCAGCCTGATGGGCAATGTCCCTTCTTCCCTGGCCAAACTGGTGAGACTTGAGAGCTCAGGTGAAAAGTCCTGAGTGTCTTCTCAACCAAGGAAGCCTCACTCAATGATGAGTGTAAGGGCCACAGTTTCTGTAATACCAATGAAAGAAGATGGACCTGGACAGTACCATGGTTTGGTCCATCAACAAAATGCTCCTGTTGATGGGAGGTGGGAGGATGATAGTGGAAGAAGAGACAGGCGGGTGGGCATCCTGTGCACGCTGCCTGGAGCATGCTGAGCCAGGACTGATGCCGCACTGCTACCAGGATGACCCTCACATCAGCAAGCGGCTGCAGTCGCCTGCCCTCAGCTCTGCTGGGCATGGCTGGATCTTGGTCCTTGATGCAGGGCTGGATGTGTAGTCTCTTCCCAGAGCTTCTTCCTCACAACGCCAGCTTTGAAATCTCTTTTCTCATCCACCAGAACAGAGTTTGGTCTTTAACAGACCTGTAAATTTAGTGGGTTAAGCCTGAGAAAGTTCATTCAGCAACAGCTAACATGGCCTGTGGAATGGCCTCATTGAGGGTTTTGAAGAGTGTCCAGCCCTGCCACACATCCGGACGGTCCAGCCGACCTTGGGAAAAAACAATGTCACACCCTGGCTTTCAGTCAACAAACAGTAGGAGCACAAGGAAGGGAAAAATGTTACCCAGCAGCAAGGGAAAAGCCAGCCAGGCTGGTTTTCCCCTCTGCTAAGGCTGCGAGCTGTAACTTAGATGGCAGGAGCAGGAGACTGCAGTGTGGTCCCTACTTCCACAGATTGGATCTGGTGACCTGGAGGCTGTAATCAGGTAAGAACAACCCATATGCCAGGAGCAGCCATCCCCTCACAGCCTGAGGACCAACACTGGACAGCTTGTGTCCTTCTCCCACCCTCCATTTCACCATAACATTCCAGCATCCATTCCAGAAACACAAACTCAACAGATGGAATTCACTTTCTACAAAAACTGCATTACACAAATGGAGTTGGGACAAGAGATAAGAAAATATAGCTTGGCAATTTTGCTATTTCATGCAGGGATTTGATATTTTCTGGAAAGATGGAAGAATTTATCTTCAGAGAATCACCTTGAGGTGGAGCTTTGGGGCTGCAGGCAGCTCCAATGGGATGAGACAGAGATGTGCAGGCTCCAAGAAGAAAACGTGTATCCACATCACAGGAACACCTGAGAGGACTCTACACTTCTCAGTTGTGAAAATCAGGGGTAAATGATATATCCATGGAGGGTGCACAGGGAAGAGGGTTCAGGACACGCACTACAAAGGGCTGTGACAGGGAACTACAAAGCTCCACAGACCAGAGGCACAGGGCACCTTTGGACCATTAGTGTGTAGGACAAAACAGCTCAGGAAGCCCCTCTAGGCTGACCCCTTGCACAGGAAGGGATGCAGGAGGGGTGACAAAGGTGAATCGCACACAGACTCTCTGCACACCTGCCCAGAAGGAGACACACACAGAGGTCCCAGCACACGCCACCCTGTACCTGCACCGATGATCAGCACATTGGTACTGCTCAGGTTGTAGTTGCTCAAGGAGATGCACTTTGCCATCATCTTTGTCCTCCTTTGTGTCTGAAGAGCCTATACCACCAACAAGAAGAAAAGTCAGTATCTTTTCTCAGCTTTAACCTGGGTAGCCAGGCAGGAACAGGAACAACTACACTACTGTCATAAACCAGCTTGGATAGAAAGGGAATAACTGTGCCCTTGTACCCAGCAAGGACTCCAAACCCATGCTCATCTAAATACCTTTCTACCATCCAGTGCACTACCCCCTTACAAGATACAAAAGGAAAAAAACCCATCATCTTCTGCAAATTAATACACACACGCAAAATGGGGGACAAAAAAAAAAATTTAGAAGCAGTCCAGGTGTGTCATTGTGCAATTCTGTAACCAACAGGTGAGATGGAAATGCAGAAATCCTATCAGGAACTTCATCCTGTGCCTGAGCAGAGCTTGTATACCTCTGATATCCAAAGCTGATGGACTCATCCAACCTGCCAGAGCACACCCAAGGGCCTATGCCACTGTAGCCCTGCTGCACAGACCTCTTGTTGCCAGCCACTAGGAGTCCAAAATGTGTTTCTGTTAGAGGAAACCCTCCTCATCACATCCCACCTGAATCAGCTGGAGTAGAAGTGCTGCCATTCAGGTGACCTCTCTGGATCTACAAGTGCTATAAAGGTCCAGCTGGTTCTGCGCCACTGGCTTCACATACACACAGGTGCAAACATGCATCAGAAGGTAGTTTTTCATGGAAAGAAATAGATGTGGCCTTAACAGGCTTCCTCCTGCATCCTGTCTTGGGGGATGAGAGCCCTCCCTGCCCATGCATCAAGTTCCTCTCCAGCAAAAGCTGCTGATGTCTGGGCTCAAGAGGGAGCACAGATGACCTCTGTCATTGCTGTGCCACATCCAGACCCAGCAGACAAGGCCAAAAGGCTGGTGGAAAAGGCCTGTTTCCATAGACCAACTAAATGAAAAGCTGCTATGAGCTTAAGAAAACACAAGTTCAGGACAAAGACCCAGTAAGACCTCCTGAATCCATGGACACCCCAGGTCAGGTGTCCAGCAGCTGCAGGGAGGCTGGACGAGCACAGGCAGGATGGGAGGGGGACACAACACCTCTGCCCTGCTCCACTCGTGCTCCCATACGTACTTTGGGCTGCTGCCCGAGACAGGACTGGGCTAGGTGGATCTTTGATTTATCCATGTTGGATGCTCACGCATCCTTCTATTCAGGCACTGCTTCCCCTGCCAGAGAGCCCAAAGAAAAGCATTTCCCCCCACTCCCACGCACACAGAGCAAAAAGCAAAAGCATGGGCCTTGATTTTGGGATGTCAGTGGCCACTCACCTGCTTGCTGGCTCGGATGTACACCTTCTCCTTCTCGATCTTCACCTGAGAGTGACAGAACAGCAGCAGTTTGCAGGACAGTGAGTGCCTCTGGCATGAAGAGGGTGATTATTCCCTCTGTCCAGCAACTAATGAACAGAACAGTGATCTCACCAGGCCTCCTGCCAGAGTGGCTCGGGCCATGCAGATCTCGCCCCAGATGGAGGTTGTGCGATGTTCCCTGTCTCATGCCAACTATGCACTGATGTTCAGTGTAAAACCTGATTTCTATCTCAGGCTTTCAGCCGGTTTCTCAGTTCCACCCCACTCCTGCTCAGGACACCTCTCACATTGTGCCCCTCACCCTCGGGAGGTGTCTGGTGCCCATGGCTGGAGGCAAGGGCAGCTGAAGGGAGGAAGGAAAGCTGGGTGAGGTGCTGCTCTCCACTGGTCACCCCAGCATGCACTTGGAAAAATGTGTGCTCCACACCTTCAAAGCGCATGCTAATCCCAATGCAAACAGCCATTCTGCAGATGACACCAAGCTGTGGTGCAGTTGCTACTCTAGAGAGATGGGATGCCCTCCAGAGGGACCTGGACAAGCTCAAGAAGTGGAACCACATGATCCTCCTGAAGTTCAACAAGGCCAAGGGCAGGGTCCTGCACCTAGGTTGGGGCAACCCTCAGCATCAGTACAGGCTGGGGGATGAAGGGCTTGAGAGTAGCCCTGAGGAGAAGGACTTGGAGGTAGTAGTGGATAGAAAGCTGGACATGAGCTGGCAATGTGTGCCTGCAGTCCAGAAACCCAAGCACATCCTGGGATGCATCATGAGAAGTGTGGGCAGCAGGTCAAGGGAGGGGATTCTCCCCCTCTGCTCTGGTGAGACCCCACCTCGGGTACTGTGTCCAGCTCTGGGGTCCTCAGCACAGGAAGGTCACGGACCTGCTGGAGCAGGACCAGAGGAGGCTGCAAAAATCAGTGAGGACAGGCTGAGAGAGTTGGGGTTGTTCAGCCTGGAGGAGAGAAGGCTCCAGGGAGACCTTATGGCAGCCCATCAGTACTTAAAGGGGGCTTATAAGAAAGATGGGGACAGACTTTTTAGTAGGACCTATAGCCACAGGACAAGGGGCAATGGCTTAAAACCAAAAGAGGGTAGATTTAGACTGAACATAAGGAAAAAATGTTTTACAATGAGGGTGGTGAGACAACGGAACAGGTTGCCCAGAGAAGTTGTGGATGCCCCATTCCTGGAAGTGTTTGAGGTCAGGCTGGAAGGGGCTTTGAGCAATGTGATCCAGTGAAAAGTGTCCCTGCCCACAGCAGTGGGGCTAGATTAGGTGATCTTTAAAGGTCCCTTCCAACTCAAACCTGTGATTTCTGTGATTTCCTCTGCTGCTGCAAGAACGAAGGTCTTACCTGGAACCTGGGTAAGCTGTCCAAGCCAGGAAAGTCCTCTATGTCACCTGTGCCGATGTTGAAGCAAGCTCCATGCCAGGGACAGCGGACTCTTCCTTTGGACAAAACCCCTACAGGAAACATGGCAGAGCAGAGTTGGTGCTGCCTGGCAGCTGCCTCCCATCCCTGCCTGCAGCGCACTGAGATTGAGCTGCCGTGACCTGGCCGGGGCAGGGATGGCGGAGGCCAGGTCTCCCTCCTGCTGTCCCAGTGATGGCAGACTCAGCTTCTTCACAGTGTGAACACCACTGCTGAGTGAGGCTGACCTCCGGAAGGCTGAAGGTTGCTGCCCAGGGCCTCCTGCAGTAGCAGGAGCTGTGTTGCTCCATGCAGAGCAGCTTCAAAGTTCAGACTGTGCAAGTATGTCCCCGTGACACTCCTTCTTTACTCAGAGGTGTCACCTCTCCTACTGGACACATGGAAGCTGTTGTGGACCTGGATGGTCAACAGCATCTTGGCTACTTGATGTGGAGTTCTCTTAACTTGTACATGGGACTGGTCCAGCCATTTGGGATAAAGGGTGAACAGTTACCAACTGGGATCCTGCATGAGGGATCCCATCTAAAATGCCCTTGCTGGCAGTGACCTTTCAGCATCTCTGAGCACAGATCCAAAGCAGTCTGCTCTACTTCGCTCTCCATTAGGGCCTGGGGTAGTGGTCTCTGAAGTCTTGCAGTCACCACCACAAGACCCAGTAGCATCTGGACCAAGCAGCACCTCAAGCAGAACATCACTTATTTAGAGCAAGTGTGTTTCAGAACAGATCCTGACACAGCAAGGAGTCTGCACACCACTAGGAAAGCACGGGGCATGCCCAAACCCACAAGTTCAGTCCTCACAAGTATTTGCTCAGAGGCTGCTACTTGGACTTTGGCTTTCCCTGCCTGAAAGAGCTGGCTCACACTGCTGGGACAGAGCAAACGGCTACAATTTGGCCATCCTGGACTAGTCCTGAGCTTGTGCCTTCACTTGCCAAGGAACAGCAGTGGCATGTCTCACCACCCACCATACGTGGGGACGCAGGGGAAGCCCCTGCATTAACTTCTGCAGCAAATCCTGTATTCCCCAGCAAGATCCCTGTGTGAGCAGCCAGTCTCAGGGATGCACTTGCAGGTCTCTGAAAGACAGGTGGGCTCTCACCTCCATTGGTCACCAGACCAGTGTGGGGCTCTTGTGCCTTGCTCAGCCAGCTGCTAGCCCCAGGCAAGGGGCTTGAGAGCATGGCTGCCTGCACCCAGCACCAGCTGCCTGTACCCAGCACCGCTGCTGGGCCAGAAATGCCCAGAAGGGCACTCAGTAGGGTGGTCTGCTGTCTTCCCCAGGATCCCACCTCCAGCAAAGTGCACCCTGCCCCCAGTTTGGATGAGACACTTCTCCAGCACGCAGACAGGCCAGCACTGCCTGATGCCATTACGCAGACTCTGGGGACCTGCCTGAAGCTTGTGCTGAGAAAATGCCAGGACACAACATTTCTTTTTGTTACTGAAAGGATCCCATCAGCTCAGACAGGATTTTGATTTATAGGAAGCTGTGGTTTTGTGGGTTTTTTTAAGACTGAGTGGCCTGAAAAATCATAAGGTGATTTTTTTTCCCCTTTAAGACATTCTTTTAACTCCTCAGTGGCTGGGAACTGACAAACAGGACAATATGAAAAGCCCCATAAAACCGGGCTTTGCATGGGGCCAGTGAGCTGCAGCTGTTTCATAACATCCAAGAGAGGTTCAGTTCCAGCTGAAGAATGAAGCTGAATTTAATGGCCCATGTCATTTTGTTCTTCAGTCACCCAAAGAAGCCCCAGCCCTGTGACCAGCAGTGGCAAGCTGGGGTCACCAGCAAACCAGATCCGTGGCGGAGCGCTTCCAGGAGGTTTGTGCACCCCCAGCTTCCTGCCCGTGCCTTCCTCCAGTGAGGAGACGCCAAGATGATGCTGAGTGTGTGGCACAGCACTGCCCCACACCCAGCAGCACACATGAACACCACGTGAACACCAGGCTGACTTTTGCCAATACTTTGATGTCCTTGGTTAGACTCCTCAGATGTGATGCAGACTGACCTTTGACCAGCGGAGCCCCATAGTGGGGACACTTGTGTCCCACAGCGTGGAATTCGCCACTTTCCTTGATGAGCAGAGCCTTCCCGCAGCCCAGGTCCACTTCCCGCATCCTGGGGAGGAGTAACACGGAAAAGACATGGCAGAGCATCTGCCTGGCAGCAGACACCACCCCATCACCCTGCACCCAGCACTGGCTCCACCAGGCTCCCCCCGTCCTTCAACTTGTTCACTACCAGCTGCAGGTGACTCACAGGTGTGGGTTATTACTGTCACCAAGGCAGCTTTGGAGGTGCCTCTACTGCTTCCAGCCTGGGGCACATCCAAGCCAGGCCACTGAGTGGCAGCTTCTTCCTCCATCACTGTGCCAAGAGGTGGCCTAAAGCTCCTCCCCAGCTGCTAGGGAAGCGGCTGGTGGTCTCCACCCAAGTCTGGGGCGTCAAAGTAAAGCTTTTCAACATGGAGTGGGACCAAGAAGCAAACTGGTTTTACAGCAACATCACCTCCCCTCCTGATCCCAGCAGCTCAGCAGGTCTCTGCCAAGCTTGTGTTCACTCACTCAAAGCAAACACATTTCTGAGACTTGAAAACCAGGAGAGGCAATTCTGACCCTTGGCATACTCTGGCCTTGGGATCTGCCTCCCTGCAGCTCTGGGGGTTGTGCTCTTGTCCTGGCCATATCCCAGGGTCAACAACGTGGGTCATCTTTTCCTGATAAATCCCTCAGGAGAGCAGACACCTATGTGTGACCTCCTTGCGGTCTCCCTCAGCTGTTCTTGCAGAATAAAGCTCACACCGTGACCTGCCCACCCACTCTGGCTGCTGGCCCCAGCTCTGCATCACAGAGGGGCTTTGTCTCCCTGCTGTTGCTGGCACTCAGCCCTGCCTTTGCATAGGAGCCAACTTAACCCTCGAGCTATGCACCAGGAGAGGTTCAGGTGCTCTTTGAAAGACCATAGATGATTGTGTGGTACCCTGGACAAAAGCATGATTAGCACAGCAGGAATCCTTTACACAAAAAGCTTTGCAGCTTGGGGGCTCTCTGGGTCACACCTGTGGCAGTCACCTGGTCCTTGACAAGCTAAGCCAGGCTGAGGCTCCAGCCATCCCTGTCCTAGCCAAAACCATCTCTTTGCTAACCATGTACCTTGTCTGCAAAGACAGAAAAAGCTACTGAGCATCCCCATCTGCTGAATGAGTGATTAATGATGCCATTAGTGCTGGAAAGCAGCATTTTAGACAATCCTTTCTAACTCCCTTGGCTTGGCTGAGAGCTGGTCTGCAGCCCTCCAGTTCAGCAGGGCTGTGCTGAGTGATACACACCTCTGCACTGGCTGCAGCGTGGGTGCAGCATCCCTGAACAGTGGGTGCATTTGCCCACAGCAGCCGGCTGCCCAGGGCCCCCCAGACATGGCATGCCTCCTCCCCAGTGCCCAGTGGCACCCATCCAGCTGTGCTCCGTTGCTCTGCTTGCTGGCCAGGCATGGTGTTTGCCATGCAGCTGCAGCATGTGTTTTTGTTTGCAAGAGTTTCCAATCCCTGCAGACCATATACAGAACCAGGCTGCATTTAGGCAGATGCATTACTCTGGGCAGTTGCACTATCCATTGAAATACGAGACCTTCAACCATTCGTAATTTACAGGAGGCTGCCCATTTTTCCTCTCAGCAGAGTGTGGAGATTGGGATGCAGGAGGCTCCAGTGCTGAGACCCCCCCCACTCCTCCACCTGCCCAGATCTTTGCAAGGGTACTTCTGTGGCTTTTCAGCCCCAACATTCTTAAGTGAGAATGATGTTGCTCTGCACTAAGCAGATGTTTACTCTCTGCTCTCTCATTGTGTGTCTCTACCACCTCTTCATCCCAACATGTCCTGTCCTCGGTGCCTTTTCTCACCACTCAGGTGCTCCCTTTCCAACCAACAGCCCTGATACAGCCTGTGCGAGGCACTGAACCTCTTCCCAATACAATTATCAGCAGCTGCTTCCCTACAGCAGAGCCCTTCAGCTAACCATGGAGGAAAGCAGAGAACCCTTGTTGGCAGGGAGCTGGGTGCCAAATGCAGAGCTGCTGTTCCCTGGAAACTTCCCCTCTTCCAGATAGAAAGCCCCGCACAACTTGATGTTTATCTGGAAACCCTGGTTGCTCTCACTGCATGAAGGGAACCACCTCTACAGCAAAGCCTGGCACCTTGCATTTGGTGAACCGAATACCTCACTGTGCACACAGCAAAACCCATGTGCTCAAGAAAGCTGCTGGTCCATGTGTGATCCCTGAATGTTGTTCATGTGTGATAGGCCTCAGGGTCTCAGAACAATGGGACTCACTTTGCATGCTCAGTCCTCTTTGGGTAACATCCCAACCCTATCCTATCACTTGCACCCAGGCTACAGAGACACATCGCTTTCTGTTTCACAGCCATGGAAATGAGACCAGGGCGTAGTCCACCAGCACCCCTGTAACACCTTCAAACCCGCCTTGGATAAATCTTTGTGTAGGTTCCCGCTCCACCTGCCATCAACTGTCCCACCCAGAGTAACAGCAGATTTCCTTGCCACCTTGGTGAGAACAGCAGCATAGGTCATCACACCTGCCCTAGGGAGCCATATGATCCCAGTAAATTGACAGCCCCACTCCCGAGCAATGCATCTCTGCTCCCTCCCCATGTAGGACACTTGGAGGATCTTTTGTCAGCACAAGGGGAATAGAGCAGTACAAGTCCTGCTGCATTCCTCAGCTGTGAAGTGCTTCAGATAAAACCTGCAGTTAAATGACAGCCATAACTCTATAGGAAGATAAGATAAGTGAAAGAGTTTACCACTTACTCAAGGAACTGTGTGATCTGAGAGTCAAAAACAAGACCTAGTGTCTTCAAAGCAGCACACAGCACCTGCAAGGCTCCCCCATCCCACACTCACTCCAGAGCCAACGAGAGGATGATTTACGCTGTGCTGCTCCCCACTTTGCTATTTACTCAGTTGGGAATTTGTCCTGTTGTCCCACTCCACTCCCAGCTTGGGAAGCATCAGCTAACACTCGGCTCTGGCCTGCAAAGGACCTTTGCTCAGGAGCTGAGAGAGCACTGGGGCTCTGTCTGCAGCCCACTGACTTCCCCCAGTTAGCCTGCTGGGAGGCTGGCTGGCTATAGCAGCACCAGAGTTTATCCTCCAGTATATCTTATAAGTTTTGCTGAGACCATCTTGGTACCAGAAAAATAGAAAGGGTGGGTAGAAAGAGTACTTTGTGCTCACAGATTCCCCTAACACAAGACAGAGGTGCCCAAACCCTTGTGCCAGTGCCCCAAACTGCTGCTGTGCCCATGCACACCCCTGCCCAACACACTCTTTGAGAGAAGCTTCCCAGAAAATCCCTCTTAGGTATCAGAGAAGGGAATCCTTTGGTCCAGTCTGTTGCTTACACAAGCCATGCGACCTTCTTGCAGCACATCTCTTTTGAGCTAGACTCAGCCTGCTTGGAAAAAATCTGTTCTCAACTCAAAATAGCAGTGATGGCAAGTCTGCTGCTGTACTTGGTTGCACATTTCAGTAGCTAGATACATACACGGCTGAAGCGTGAGCCCAGTTTCCAGACTGAAGCCAGTTTCTAGCCTTGGCTTTAGCTGAAGACCTCCCTGCTACAGCCACCTGCACCCAGGTATGTTCTCACAGACTGCAGCCCACACCCTCCTCACCTTCCCCGTGACCAGCAGAGCATTTTGAATCTTTTCATCTACTAGACCACATGCCTTCCAGTCAACGTATCTATCACAGCTCTTATTTTCCAACATCCTTCTTGCACTGGGGCGCTAAAGCAGAGCACACTTGGTTAGTAACACCCCAAACAGAAAGTCAGAAGAAGCTGGCTCCATGAACATTTGGTGTTCAGCCACTAGGCTACGTCTTGACATTCTGGAACAGGACCCTTCCTGTGCAACCACTATTTTCCAGGATTGTCTCCCCTTTTTGCTTCACCCCAGCCTCAAGGCAAGCCCAGTCACTGCCTGCACTCTGCCCCAGGTCCCCTGTTCTCCAGCCTTGCTGTCACTGCTTGCCTGCACAGGAGGCAGTGGGTTGCCCATCACCTCTCAGAAGCAGCACTACAGCCCCTGTGCTTGCCTTCCAGCCCAGTGCATCTCTCACCCCCACCCCTCACTGGAGGAGGCCATTTGCCTCCAGGTCCTGATGGCCCTCCAGCACTTCCCTGAGCTGCAGCAGAGCTTGCAGAGTCACCCACACCTCATTACGTGAAGATTTAATCCATCAAAGTCTGGTGCATCCCTTTATAGAAGGGCATAGCATGTAAATTCCCATCACAAAGAAAAAAACAGTTTATTCCTGGATGAATTTACCTAATGAGAAGAATTTATAACCCATGAAGTCCCTTGTTTAGCACAAAGTAGCTTATAATACATACATTATTCTAGAATATTATCACAAGCAATTCAAGTTCAATTTAAAGCAGATAGCTGCCAGACTCCTGCTGTGTCCCACACACTTGACATCACTCCCTCACTGGAATAAAAGCTATTTCATGTTTTCTTTCACGCAAGGACAGAGCCTGCTGAGATGTTGACCAACAGAACATGCTGCAGATAAGGCACATCTACCCCAAAAAGGAAACACCAGTCTGTATAGCATGGTGACTGGGACGGGAGCTTTTTAGACTTCAGAACACTCTTAAATCAGGGTAGTGAAACTGTACACAGCTGAAGTGTGTTGCCATTAGCAAGAAATTTGGAAAACTGCATCCTTGGTGAAAGAGCAAATTGAAAGAGATGCTCTTGGCTAGAACAAAGCACCACAGAACCGATGGAGCATGTGATCTGCCCCATCAGCTCCACCCATGTGCTACTCATGCTGCTTCGTAAAACTAAGGCTATAAATTTATTAAAAAATGTCAGGATTGTCTAATACAAGCTGAGCGGAGCCTGCTGAGAAATTATGCAACAGAACATCACATCTTTCTAAGAAGAGTCCCAGGGCTGACTATGAAGGGAACAGCAGACCTTCTGGTAAAAAACAGTTGTCACTTGTCTATGATGTCATTTTTTAAGATGAAAAAAAAAATTATTTTACTAAGTTAAATTATCATCTCCAGAAACTCTAATGAACAGGGTTTGGTTCAGGTTATAAGGTCTCTCAAGTTTTACCTGCAAAAATTTTAGGCACTTACTGTCCATTCTCAAGGTCCTTCACATGACACACGGACGCTTCCACCACATCCTTTGGGTTGTGGTAGGGATTGCTGGCAATGGGATGCTCCTCAAGATGATAATGTCGGGCAGTCCCGTTGACTTTGTAGATCAGGGGGCTGGCTTTCCCATTGGGCGACATCTCCTCCTTGCTTCTCTCCTTCTCAGGTATCACAACTTCAATTTTCACTTCAACTGCAGGAACAAACAGAAATCTTCATTAAAATGAAGCTGGAGGTTTTGCTGCCATTCTGCCTCCCCCTCCCTTCCTGGAGTTTGAAAGGGTCTGACAGACATCAGAAGAGTCATTTTTTGTTGGCTCACTTGGGAAGATAAAAGACTTAATATCAAACTTGGCTTGATTACTCGAGCCCATTATTCCACTGTTCTTTCTCCATCGGGCACCTTTGCATGCATAAAGTACATATTCTTGGAAGCAGACATTAGCAGTTGGTGCAAAACAATCCCTCGGTCACAGTTCCTGTCCTGTTTAGTGAAAACCAGCTTCAGGAAGCTAAATGTGAGGCACACCAAGGCTTCTAGGACTCAACTTCAGAAATTCCTTTAATTCTTTGTAGATAACAATAACTGAAAGAGAAAGCCAACACTGCATGGTGTCTAAAGCTGCTTCATTAGATGGAGATCAATTAATAAGGAACTAGAAACAGCCAAAATTATTTCTTTATGAGGTTTTTATCACAGAGCGAATCTTCAGCGTCAAGTGAGAAAAGCAAGGATTGTCTGCTTTACTTAAGTGTACACCACTGACAGGTTTGACAACAAAAGCATCCTTGGTCTGGGGACCAGGGGACCCAGGGACACACAGGAGAAGTTTGTGCCAGCGCAGCACATCCCCCTGACCATCAGAGGGGACAACGAAGCCAGTGGGCCCCCTTGGCTCCACTGCCACCCTGGGTGCTGTCACCAGGCGGTGAGGGAGAGAGACAGCCCCTGGCAAGGCACAGCCAGGGTGCTGCCCCTCCATTCCCCCCCATCCTCCCTCTGCCTCGACCAGGATGTGCTACCAGTCCTCCCCTCCCCACACAGGGACAGGGGGAGAGCACAGGGGCTCTCCTGGCCACCCCCAGGTGAGGACATGCAGGACATGCATTCATCTGAGCTCCCTGAAGGACAGCGCTTACCCAGCCTCGCCAGGCACCCATCCAGACACCCCCACCCCCACCCCACCCCGTGCCCAGGGGCAGCAGGCTGGATGCAGGAGCATCAGAGGAAGTCAGCTCTCACATCATAAAGAGAAAATCACTTTAGGTCCTAGGGACTTCATAAAAGTAAAGCCATTAATATTTATAATAAACTCCAGTAGAGTTCTATAGCAAGCCAGGGGTGTGGAGACTGAAGAAGTGTCTCAAGCAAATGGGAGACTGATGAACTTTCCCTGTTTTATAAATGTCATGAACAGGAAAAGCTGTGCAGAAGATAAAAATTAAAGCTCATGACCTAAATAGGTTAAAGAAAAGCAAAAACGGGAACAATGTGCCCCAGAAGAGTGGGATGAGCCCTGTAAGGGTGGTGGGTCTTCCCACCTTTGTCTGTTGTCCCACACCACTTATTGCAAGTCCATTGAGAGGTCGATGGACGAAAAGTCAGGGGGAAGATCGTTCATTTAGGAAGGGAGAAAAGCAAGTGGCCATGCCCATCCAGGCACCAGTGGCAAGTGGCTATTTCAAGACTTCTGTGAGGTTCAGCTTTTTGTGCCAGCTCAGCAGGGCAGGGGACAGGGCAGCTTTTCAGCAAAGTGCCAGATCCTCGCACTCACCAGGGCAGGATTCACTGGGGGCTCTGACAGAGAGATCTTCTGTGCATTAATGCTGAACCAACAGAAGATGGGAACTTCTGTTCTGTTATTGCAAACTAGGAGGCCCAGCACCATGTATTAGAAAAAAAAAAAAAACAACACAACAAACGTTACTATGAGCTCATCCCTGGAGCTCTAGAGAAGCAGCCCAGCTCCCTGCAGGTACCCAGCAAAGAGGCTGCTTTCCATAACCACTGTTTTCCTATGGTGTTTGGAAAAGCAGACATGAATTTTCCAGGATAGAGTTAGGGAATACAACCACCATCCATTTATGCCAGTCCCTGTGAAATACTTTTGGTCAAAGAACCAGGAGGATCATTCCACGCAATTACGCAGTCAGTCAGACACTTATGTGGAGCGACCATGGCTACACATCCCTGTGGCCGGACCCCGGAGCTGGGCAGCGGTGCAGGGGGAGGCCAGGCTGGCACCAGCGGAGCCGGCAGCTCCAAGCCCTAATGGTGAATCCACCCCGGGGGAACAACCCCCATCTCTTGCTTGGCCCATTGCCCTAAAGCTTTGCTTTCCAAACAACATTTGGGTCAGGTGAGCACCCAGAGTGCTTGCTGATCCACAGGCATATGAACCTTCAGGGATGAAGATGGAAATTTAGCTCTGAGCTCCTCACTTTCTGGGTCAGAAAAACATGCAAAAAGCAGCAGATCTCTGACAGTGTTCCCAGCCACACCAGTTCAGCACTCACCAACACTCCTGGACAAGCATCCAGAGGAAAAGAAAAAGAGGTATAAAGTCTTCCCCCCTCCTATTTCAGGCCCCACACTTCACCGCTTGCCTCCATGAGGGGCAATTCCCATTTGCCTATCCCTGACCCTTTACCCCCCTTCCCCTCCTCCTCGCCTCGCCCTGGCCCTGCACAGGGTGTCCCTCTGGCCAGAGATCTGCATTTCCAGGGGATGATCCCTCCAGGAATCCAGGGCTCAGTGGCACCTGAGCTGATCCAGCAAACTGCTGCAACTGGCATCAGGGGAAATTATATTTAAACAAAACACTTATAAACCCAAGTTTAATTCTGAAATCTAATTGGTATGGTGTGGCTGGGTCCAGTGTGCTCCATCCCTTTGACAGTCATTTTCCATAACTGCTAGAAGAGGTTCCTGACTTTAAATCAAGCTGTTTGGGAAGTTTTAGGCATGTGCCTACAATACTGTGTGGTGGCTGACTCCTCAGTGACCAGCCAAGGCCACCACTGTCACACAGCAGTGCTGCCCCATCCATGGCTGATGGGAACAAGGGTGACACAGAGCTTCCAGGGCAGAGCAACTGCTGCTCTCTGAGCATCTATATGTATGCATCTAGAGAGAGAGATACGCCTGCTTGTCCTCTGCCACCAGCATCACTTACATACATATGCACGTGTATGCATGTGGTTTGGTGTGTTCATGTTTATTTTTAATATATATGTATTTTGTATCTATATTTATATAAACACACACATATATGAAAGATCAGAAGGCCAGGGCTGGAAGTATTTTACGAGAATATACAAAAAAGCAGATGAAACAGTTGAGCATTAGCAGGTGCTAATACCACACATCCACATACACCTCAGCACTGCCAGCTCTTAGTACTCAAAAATCCTGAGTCAGCTCCCCAAGATCATAGAACTCCTTAAAATACATTCTTGTCAAGACTATGCATTTTGACCCAATTGTTGGGGTTTCTTTTCCTCTCAGGTTTTCAGCTTTTAGGTCAGAGCACTGCTGGGACCTTTACATGCACACCCAGGAACAACATCCTGACCCCACTGATCACAGTTGGCTCAGGGCGCTTTTTTTCACATTGTGCCCACAATGCTCTTGTGCTTTGCCTCATGTCATTAACACCTGGCAGTCGGTCATTAATACCCCATTACATCTCCCATAAATCTATTCCTTCTCCATTGCTGTTCACAGCCTTGTGGGAAAAGTCAAAGCCTCTGCCTGCTGTTAGGCAGGTACCTGAGACATGAGGCTGGAAATGCTGGCAGGGACCCCTGGTCAGGGTGCTGGCAGGTAGAGGGTGGCTAGGTTGCAGTGCAGGGCCATGGTCATTATTTTAAAAAAAATAGAGCAATTAAATGACCCAAGACTTCTTCACTACAGGATTAGGTTCCCATGTATGGCTCAGTGGCCTTCTAGAGGCTAAATTTAAATTACAGGTATCAGGCCACTTAAAGTATGATACTTAAAACAGTAGAAACAATAAAAAAATACTAATTTAATATGTCAGTGCTAGGGGCAGAGAGAATTGGCATGAGCCAAGAGTTGGCTTGAATCTGGGTGAGTCTAGGTAAGCTGAAGATGCCTGGCCATAGGGGATGGAGGAGTGGGGCCAGCGGAAGGAAGAGCTGAGTGTCTGCCTTCCCCAAACACAGAACCCTCCAATGGCTCGGGGTTTGCTGCTCAGAGGCTGCAGGCGCAGGGTAACTGAGCACTGAGGGCAGGGAACAGCCTTGTACTGACCTACGGTGCCAACAGCTCCAACAGCAGTGGAAGCCAGAAAAGTATCAAGGGTAGTGAATGATGGAGGGACCTGCAGGGGATGGTGGGCACAGCCACAAAGCCTGGTTTACCCCAGAAGGGTTTACTTTCCTGCAGCCAGCACAGGGGAAATCCACCACCGTGGGACATGTCTGGGGTCTTGCCCTGCCCTGCCAGAGCTGCACTCCCCAGGCATCCCCTGGGCTCACTCACGCTGCCTCGTAACTGCAAACCTCGATGACAACTACTTTAGGTGGTCTCAAAAAGACTCCAAACTGTTTCTAAAAATGACAGAGCTAAAGACAAAACCATCACATCCAACATACCTGGCTCTGCCCTCCCTCTCCAGATGTCCTATTCAGCAAACACCACACTCCCAAACACCAGGAGGTGGGCCTTGCCACCCAAGCTGGGGGCACCCTTGGAGCCAAGCTCAGAAGGACACACAGCCCACGGCACCCCCTCGAGAAGCACGCAGCATCCCCACAATGGGGACACATTCCCTGCTCAGAGCCAAATGCATCCTCCGCGCGAGGGCAAAGCTCACCCGCAAACATGCCGTGCCGTGCTGTGCCAGAGCTGCTGTTCTGCCCCACCATCAGGTGCTGAGCCCAGCAGAGAGTGCAAAGAAAAATAATCAGAACTTGATAGGTTCTGCAAGCTGCTCTCCCACGCCTGGTGCAGAGATGTGCTGCTGCAGCTCACAGCGAGCAGTGGCTGGCGCACGATGGTTCCCTTTACCCATCATCCTGACCCGGCTGCCTCTCCTGGAGCGGGTGCTGGGATCCCACGCAGACTGCCAGCTGGCAGCTCATCGCATATGCATCACACACCCGGAGGAAAAACGGAGAAAAAAAATTATGCAGAGATTGAGAACTGGGCCTTCAGAAGAGGATCTGGCATCACAGGACTGCAGCGCTAGAGACAACAGAAGATTACCTCACCACTTGAACGTAAACTCTTAATTAGACACTTAAATATCAGGATGGGGTCAGGCACTGCAGCAGCAGCCAGACTTTGGGACTGGCCTCTGGTACAGCCAGCATAGTTAATTACTGTTGCAGGACTCCACTCCCCAAAGCTCTTATACCAGTGATCTGCTCATCAAAAGGTCTTCCTGGCACACAGCAATGTGTGTGCAATGTCAAGATTATCTCGAGAAGTGCTGAGGGTGCACAGGGGGACAATCGGATATAAGATGGAACACATAAGGACCTCATATACATCTTTCGAAAGTGTCTAAATAAATTCTGTTGACTTCAGGCTCCATCTGAAATATTGCCTTCATGTCAAAACAGCACTGATGGAGAAAATAGCTCTGTTCTGTCCCTGCATGACTGCTTCTCATTTGTACAGGGGATAGGTGGATTTTTAAAAATAGGAAAGTGCACTACTTAGCTCTGATGGGTGAACAGTTCCCTCAAGAAATGGGAATGACTATCATAAAAAGTCTGTGAGACCTCTTTACCAGAACAATTGGTATCTGCAAATCCATGTTTACCTCCCTGAATTTGCAGGTTTTATAACCACGGAGATGAAGCACCACAGTCAGTGATGTGCTAACCAGGGGCTGGGGAAAGGCTTGTCAGAAGCCTTTGAAGACTGCTAATCAAAACCAGAGCTTCAGAGAGCACGTAACATTACAGGATAGCATTTTCAGTCATTTGGCCCTGCTATGCAAATAGGCCTCTACATGAAAATCTGCAGTTCAGGAAATCTGCCTGCAGAGTGCTCTTATTCCTCCACTGGTCCAAGATTAAACACAGTTTGGCTGATGGAATACAAAATAAAGTGGAACTGTCAGCAGAGTTTGTTACAAGTTTAGTCAACAATGACATTTACTCCTGGATGCATCTTCACTCTTTAAACATTTCAAGGAAGATTATAAACAGCAAGGGTTTTCACCACAGAAAGCTTATAGTTCAGTCCAATGCCATATGACCTCAGCACTGCAATGACCTACAAAATCATCACAGTATAGGCCAAGGGCAGAAAACCACCTTTATTTTCTCCTCGTGCCTTGCAAAGCAAAGGCACAGGACCTCACTCGGTGCCTGCTCGGTGGGTTGCAGACACAACTTGTATCGCCCCCTGACCTTTCAAGTCCTTCAACCCGAAATCCCCCCTGCCTGAGGCAATGAGGACACAGTGCCAATAAAAGGTCCCCAAAGACCCGCAAAGGCTGTGCATGGATGCTGGCTGATCTGATAGACCAGAGGAACTATCTGATTCCCCTTGCACTTGGGCACAAGCAGGCAACAAGGACAGGGTGGTCCTTCAGCTCCCTCTTAGGTGACCAAAGCGAGCTAGAGGATGGGAGCTCTCCTCAAAGGCAGCTTCGGCAACGCCGACCGCGCCAGCCTCGGTGCGATGCCAATGCTGCCAGGTATGACGAGCCTGGCCACCACGTGGTGCCTGCTCGTGCCCAGGCTGCTGACAGGGGCTCAGGACAAGGCTTAACATTGACACTTCCCCACCAGCCCTCCCTCGTTCAGCCAGCTTGCCTATGCAGCCTGCACCACAGCCCCTTCCTCTCCTATATAAGCCCACCTTTTTCAAATGCTGAAGAGCAGGGGCCCACCCAGCCCAGCAGCAGAGGGAGCACACAGGGCAAGGGAATATGCTTAATGTCCAGGTGCCTACAGCTGCCTGGAAGCAGCATGCATGGAGAAGCTTCACCAAGAAAATAAAATCCAGAGTGGAGAAGGACCTGGCCTGGGTGATGGGACTGAGAAAACACCAAGAAATCAAGCAGTAGGTGGTCTCGTCCTTCCCTGATCATTCCCTTCCAACAGGAACAAAATTAAGGGTTGGCCAGTGAGTGGCAAAGCCACGGCAGCGAGGAAGATGCTGGACCCACACTCGTCTGGACGGGGGATGGCCATTATACAAACCCACCCTGATGCACAGCAGGAAGGCAGAAGCAGGGAGGGTGGTGGGGGTACGAGGGGATGGGATGGGGAAGAGCTGGCAGCAGCTGTTTGGATGGGGTTGCAGGGTGTGGGCTGAGCTCTCCTCCTGCCTGCCCACCACCCAGCACCGCTGCAGCCCCTGCACAGCTCCCTGCCTGGCAGCGAGAGCGCTGAGGAATTTGGGGGGATTAATGGGCCTGGTAATCCTCTCTGCGGGCGCTGAGAAATAACATTCCCCTGGCCAGCGTCCACTGCCTCTGACCTACTTCTGCCCATGGGGATGGCGGGATGAGGGCACGGCACCAGCAGGCAGTCACCTGGTTTGGGCTTCGAGAAGCATCCTCCCATGGCGCTGGGCAGGACAGGCAGCGGGGACAGCGGGCAGGTCAGCAAGGGTGCAGGCACATCCTCGCATGATAAACCACCCACTCAGGCTGTCCCGGGCTCCAGGCGTCGTTCACAACCTGCGCTGGGTAGAAAAGCTCCATGAGAACTGGGACTGGCAGGGAAGGCGGGTGCTGCCGGGAGCGGATGGAAAGCCGGCGAGAGCTGCTGCCTGTGCCAGGAGCTGCAGGCAGGAGCTGGGCAGCATGAGCACAGTGGGTACACGGAGCATGGGGGCAAGTCACAGTCAGCCCCGCACACCCCCGGTGACCCAAGTGACAAGGGGAAAACATAACACTGGGGTCACCGTGCTGGGAATCACCAGTAAATTCAGTTATGAAGTTTATAAATTCAATCATCTTTTCAAAGTTAAACCCTCACATCATTTATGTTCAAACTTTAATAACTTTCCAAAGTCCTGCCTTTGGGAATTAAATCTCTAAGCACATAGGTCACAGCCCAAATACAATGATTAAACTATAAATACATTTCAGCCAGTTTTTTTTTTTCTTTTATGATAAGGTGATGGAAAAACAAAATCTACTTGATTGTCTGGTCCTGAAAGTTCCCCCTTTCCAGTAATGCTCACTCCAGCAGAAATCCCATTCACTTTGGAACAATTATTTATTTGAGAAAGGGTTTTCAGTATCAGGCCATTTTGCAACAAAAGCCAATTTTTTACACTCTTAAGCCAGGATTTTTTAATGTTTAAGCGGGACAGGCAAACAGTCCACTTCAAGTAGTGTTAATCTCATTAGCTTTGACTGATAGTGCTCTCAGATTTAGTACAGACAAAGAATTAGGATAAACCTTTCTGTTTATACTCCTTGACTGAAAACAGCAAAAATTCATACAACACAACTGGCAATAAACCAGAACATTTAATTAATTTTACACATTCATACCTGTAACTGAACTGATTTACTATGCTTTTGCCATATATCTTTCACAAAGTCTTCCGATCTGGGCAGGAAGTTAAAACCATTTCTAAAGCATATTTTATCACAGGCAAAGTAGGCTTTTCTGCAGCTTAGAAAGTGCCTCAAGATCTTTACAATGAGAAGAAAATACAGAAGTGCCAGGAGGCAGATGCCAAGCACTGCAATTTCTCCCCTTTATTTAAGCACCAACTCAAAATTATCCAGACGTACCCTTCCGTTCTCAGGTATATCCCTCTAAAACAGGCACATTCCTTCCTGCAAACCTTCATACTCCCCTTCTACCCTGCATGGCATGATCTCCACCAAGTCCCAGGTGTATTGCCAAAGCATCTTCAAAGCCTGAAGTATCTTGAATAATTTGGGCTATAGAGGAATAAGAGAGTGGTGCCTTGCTGCGTGTTGTGCAAAACAGACACACAGACACTTGATAATGGTCACTGAGGGGTACCAGTCTGGCGCAGACGAGTAATAGGACAGAAAACACACAAGCTTGTCTGCAGACTACAAAGAGCAATCAGACGTGTGTGCAACCATCAACATTTACAAAGGGGGAACATTCGGTGGAGCAGGGAAGAGGCAATAGCTCTTCTCACAAGAGCAAAAGCACCCAAGAAAAGCATCACACCAACATTTATGCAAGAGCAAATGCAAACAAATGCCATGTAAGAAGGTGCACAAATGCAGGGAAGATTTGGGAGCACCAGGGAAAAACACAGCAGTCACATGCAGTAACTGCTGTATGGTCCCTTGCCAAATCTGTCAGGAAGAAAGGGAAAATGGCTTTGTATCACAGATCAGTCTCAAGCCATGCATGTATCAGTGATACAGGACAATAATTCAGTGCAAAACATATAATAAAATACCATGAAAAGGCTGGCAGAAAAGGAGGTGGGAGGTGAGTGCCAGAGAGGAGCAGGTGACAGGGCATGAGCTGGGGGGAGCACCCAGGGCATCTTCAGCATCAAGCCAGATAGGAAAGTAAGACCACACCTAAGTGAGTTCATACCAAAGCGAGATACTGCTGTGAGCAGAATGTGACAGTGAGACAACGGGAGGCACACAAAGGAGAGCAAGGAGAAAACTGAAATGAGGATATTGCCACCTACACAGAGGCTGGGCTTTCTTCTGGAAGGCAACCAGCCTACTCCCAGGTCTGCCATAGCTGATCCCCACAACCAACTCAGAAGCAAACCAAAGCCCCTGCAAGCCCGGAGCAGCCTTTTGCTGCGGGTTTCCTGCAGCAGAAAGTGATCGCTGCACCGGCAGGACAGGGCGATGCTCCGGGCCAGGCAGCATCCAGCAAACCCTCAGGATGCTGCACGTCAGGGAGCACAGCCGGGACCCCCAAGCACTCAGGCAGGTGGTGGGGTGGATGCCTGAAGGGTGGCTCCCGAATGTGCCTCACCAGAGGGTGCCTCGATCTTCTCCAAACCCCCAGAGATGCTGTTGGGACTAGTTTCCAGCTGGTCTGGCTGGTTTTACAGGGGACTTTGGGAGGATGTCAGAGCTCCTCTCCTTGAGTATCAGCCGTTTGTCTGAGATGCCTTTGCTTTGTTTGGAGCTCAGAGATGGCAATCTGAAGCCACTGCCTCAGGTCCACTTTCACATCCCCTAATTTCCCCATTGATGGTCCCCCCTAGGCCCTTCAGAGGCACCCACAGTGCTCAGGCTGACTGAGCCACCCACAGCTTCCTAAAGGAGCTCAGAGCAGGGCACAGTGCACATTTCTGGGTGTCCCCCCCACCACTCCTGGTTGTTAACCAGACAAAAACTTTTCTGGTTGCAGAAAGGCACCAGCCTGCCCTACCAGACGACTCATGAGTCACCACTAGCAGCATCCAGAGGTACCAATCCAGATCTGGATTCTGCAGGAGTCACGCCCAAAATCTTCTGTTAGGAAAGGGAAATCAGCTCATATACAACATTAACTGAACCCAGCTAGCAAGTAACACCTTGCTAGCTCTTGAAGAGTAATGCACTGACCTATACAAGGTCACGTGGCTGATGTTCATGTCTCAGTAAACCAGCTCATAACCTGTTCCCTGAACAAAACAATGCTCTGTGCTTCACTGCTGTACAGGAACACCTTCAGCATCTGCTCAAAGAAGGCAACAAGGAGTGGGTTATCAAAATATGAGAAAACTGTTGTAGTTCTGAGGAACATACTACCCCATCTCTAAAACTCCCGTGTGAATGGGGAATCAGCCCTGCAACAGGCTGTCTGCAAAACGGGACTCCAGCATCACTCAGAGAGCACGGCCTGAGAGCACACCACCGGAGAAACCACCCTGCTCCCAAACAGAAGAAACATTGAAAATAATCCAACAGGAGAAACATAGGAAACAATCCATCACTACTAACCCCAAGCACTTCCACTGCACACCAATAAAACTGCGACATTGCAACATCAAATTTTCATTGTGGGCAAGGGACATAAAACCAGAAGGGCCATGCAGCTCAGCCCAGATGTCCACCTCTGACAGTGGCCAACAGCACTTTTGTGCCATGAGCAGGCAAGAACAAGGCAGGCACACTGTGACACTTCAGCCCATGTTTCTTGACATGTTTGGGCAACCCACGCACAGATCTGGATCCAGAGCTTGCACCATTTTTGAGAGATGGCACAGTACTGACAATGCTGTTATTAGCACTGTATTTACCCCTCTGCTTGCTGCTGAGCCCCAGGCTCCTGCTTTAATTGAATGCTTAGCTGCGACTCCAAAATCTATTCCAGATGGTAAGGTGGTAAGTACACAAGTATATAGTACATTGTAGGTATAATAAGTATTTTTTTCCCTGAAGATTAGTTTATGTTTATTGAAACAGTGTCATTTTATCACCTGGACACAAAGGTTCATCATATGCAGCTACAGCACTTCAGAGTCAGCATCTGTTTTGCTGCTGTGAATAATTCCGTATTGCCTGCCTAGAAATCTGGCACATGCCTGAGCACCGAACCACGCACAGCGACATGGGCATCTCCCAGACGTACAAGTCTGCAATCCAAGCTAGCTCCATCTGGGGATGTCAGGTGGAGACCTCTGCCTGTGGAGCACTGAGCACAGACACACTCATGACACTGTTCACAGGGTCCCTTCAGCCATGATTCACCTGCTGTGGCCCTGGTGCATGTGACACCAGCTGCCCCCATGGTCTCTCCTGGCTCCTCCAAATCCCATTGCTCAGCTTCTGGTTGCACCCTCACTGTTTTACAGACACTGTCCTGATCCAGGTTGCCCCTGGCCTGCTGGCCCTGGACAAGGGAGCCCCAAGCACCATTGGAGGGAGAGGGGGAAAGAGAGGCCTGCTTCTTGTCTCCTTCCCACTTGCCCAGCACAAGTCCCCACCCCTGGCCCACTGCTGTCCCCACTGATCCCCCGGCCATGCTCTCTTGCAAGGGGTGTCCTGACACCTCGCAGGGCAGCTCCATCCCCTCCCCACCCCACTGAATCCCTCCTCTCAAGCCCTGGCCCCACATCTCACCTCCTCTCCCATCTTCTCCCATCTCCTCTCCTCAGTGATTAGGGGTCTCCCAATGTCAGCAAGAAGGCAACTGATGTGATGTCCTTGCACAGAGGGCTGGTGAGTGCAAGGGCAGGGGCTGTGGTGCCAACCCACTGCTGATTCCCAGAAAAGGGAGCCTGCACTGGGGCTGGACCATAGGCCCACAGGGCCTGAGGATGGAGTCAAAGATGCTGGAGCAGCTGACAGCTACTGGGGATCCTGGTTGTGGCTACCAGAACAAGAAACACCTCTGGGTCTTACAACCTCCAAGCCTCAAGGCTTTGCAGGGGCACAGTCCCTGGTCCTCCCACAGCTGCACCTCCTCCTCTGCCCTATCCTCCTCTTAGGCCAGACTCAAGCCAGCCCTGGGGCTGTCGGCGACACAGTTCAGGTTCCCAAGGTCTAAGGGCTCAAGAATATGACCATCAGTCCAAGGTAACCAAACAACAATGAGAGCATCCTGCCACCACCAGCAACCAACCTCCCGTCTCCCAGGTAGTTCAGGATCATGTGCTCAGCCAGATCCCCTGATTTCTGCTGGGGACAGGTTCACCAGGCACCACTGCCTGGACTTACTCCGTCCCACAGCTAGAAATGCCTGTATCTTCTCTGCCATGGGTCCAGCAGGCTCCAGGACTGGCATGCTGGCAGGGATCAGCAGGCTTGTCCTCTCCACACAGATCTCCACCACAGCTGAACTCTCTATCTTTGCAGTGCTCTGGAGGAAACCTGGGAGAGCACTTGGAAGATATTTGAGGAGGTTTCTGAGAAGCCACTGGAATTCATGGTGACCAAGTGGGACATCTAGGACATGCTCTGTTCCTAGGGAGATGACTTCTGTCTCTTCATTGACACAACCAGTCTGGAGATGCGTCCAGGGGAGGAGGGAAGGGGTCTGGCAGTACTGGTGTCCCTGAAGCCATGGCAGCCCCAGGGCTCTGGGCAGCAGGTCTTGCTCACATGCTCTGGGAACAGCCACTCACCAGTTCTGGGATCAGGCAGGAGATTTTTCTCCTGGACAGATTGGTACAAGTCCCTGGGAGGTTTCTTGCCTTCCTCTGCAGCATTGAGCAGGGCCCGTTGACCAGGGCTGCTCTGGGCCGTTTGTGTCCAGCGATTCCCTGCTGCTGCAGGACCAGGAGTCCAGCTGTGTCTGCAATCTCTCCACCTCTCCTCCCTGTGGCAGCTTTGTTTTTCTAGTGTTCAGTCATTTGTAGTGTAGGTCTTCTAAGGCAACGTCCTACAGCTCCACGCTCCACAGGAGCTGCTGTTCTTTAACTGCCCCTGCATACAATAAAATTTTCTTTTTATTGTATCTTGGTTCTGTTGTCTGCAAACATGCCCTTTTCTGCCTCCAGAACTTTGTCCTTCAGAAGCATTATCAGTTACTGCAGGTAATATTTGGACTCACAGTGATGTTATCACCATTTGAAGAACTCAGCACTTTCTTCTCGGGATGTCTCTGAAGAGTCCATGTCAGAGCATGTCAGTCATTTCCTTCCTAATTAGTAAAAGGACACCTAAAACAGTGTCACCAACAGCCCTGTGCTTAGCACGCTTAGATCTCAGCAGCTGCCACAATGCCCATAGGTCTGAGAGAAGGCCCTATGGCCAGGAGAAGAGAGTCAATGGGAGCACCTGTACTCAGGAATACCATCCCAGCAGACACCCAGAGTTTTAGGAAGGTCCCCCCTATCTATCAATAATGGCCTTTTTCTACCACAATTACTGCTCAGGTGTGAGATTCTGGCCGGTTGTCACATGCAGCTGGTTTTCCATCTGAACTTCTGGACAGACTCAATCTTCAAAAACAAGAAAGCAATATTCTCCTATCTCTAAGGCTGGACACATGCTCTCCATGCATGCAACGCCACACACACCAGGCACACCAGGGAACAGAGGCCACAGGGCAGCTCCACATCTCCCGCAGGACTCGCTCGTCCGCAGACAGCCTGGCCTGCCCTGCAGAGCGAGGAGCCACTTGCCTTGCCCAGCCAGACAGATCTGGCCCCGCAGGCTGTGCCCCCCCAAGAGGAGGGGATGGCTGGAGGCTCAGAGCATCTGGTGTCACTCTCCATACTTGCAGGGAAGAGCTGGCTCTGACTCTGGTCTCTGCTGTGAAAAAAAAAAACAACCCTTGATCCCAAACCTTACCCTATCTACCACAGAGCTGCCTCCTTGCCAAGTCTCCATATGTGCAAAATATTGTCTTTGATACAAGGCCCAGCAGGAACCATGGAGCAGTCCCAGCAGCAGACCCATTTCGAGCACACCCTACAAACAGAGTGAAGTACAGACCCCACCACAGCCTCTCCAGCACATCTAAAAAGCACAGCCCGTCCATGGGGCAGGCAAGGCTCTGGTCCTTGGGTGCAGGGCACCTCCCCTGCCTGCTGAGCCCTGAACTTCACCAGGACCCAGAGCCTTTGTTTCCCACCCAACTCTTCACCCCGTGCTACGAGTCTCCCAGTCCTACCATCACACCACACATGATCCTGTGTGGCTCCATCCCAACCAGGCACATACCCACCCCAACCTACCACATATACCCCCCACCATGCACCAGACTCACATTCTTTGTGTCCTCCTAAGACATAGGTTGCCCCTTTCTCTTACTTTTCTGGGGATTTGCTCAGTTTGACTCCCATAGTGATGGCCAGAACTATGCAGTGGGCCACCACCCTCCATCAAGTCCTCTCACACCTGACACAGCAATGTTAGAAAAAGAGTGGTGACTCCACATTCCCCTGTCCCTGATGAGCAGACCCAGACTGTCCTTCTCTGTCATCTCCTGAAGGTCACGTTGTATTTCACTCTTGGTCCCACTGTGTCCCACTTTCTCTGTCTCTGCTTAGTGGGGCAACTCCAGCCACCAGCAGTGCTTCTCACCTCCGTCTCCTCAGCAAGTTTCAGCAGCAGAGGCAGAGTTTGTGGGCAGAGGCTGTTAATAAAAATATAAAAGGTGGATCCCAAGAGTCCCTGCAGCCCACTGGCCAGCACATCTGACTCTCTGCTCAGTAGCCCCCTGGCCCCCAGGAACTCTGGCATGACCACCAGTATCCTTGCCATGCCTCTTCAGCCCTGCCAGGGACCAGGCTTCAGCCCAGAGGCCCAACAGCACCCTCCCACAACTGACCCCCTTCCCTCCCAAAAGCAGCCAGTCTCCGTGGGCCACCAGTTTGGAGCAGTCCTGGTCCGTGCCAGCACAGACCCCACGGTGCAGAGGAAGCAGTGGTGAAACAGCATTTGGGCTCTGGTTGTTGCCTAAGGACAGCCACACCTACAGTGTCACACAGCCCACAGGCACCTCTCTACTGTCTCCACCGCCCTGCAGAGAGGGACTCTACCAAAAACCAAGGCAGTTGCAGGCACAATGTCCTGCAGCCTCCCTCTCTGCCCACCCAGGGGTCCATCCTTCACCCGCTGCATCACCCTGGGCACAGCCCATGACCATAAGGAGAAACTCCCCTGTTTAGCACCAGAAACTGCAGTTCCCCACAAGGTCTGGCTCAGCAGAGTCAACCTGCCCCATCTCCAGGATAAGCTGAGCTCCACTGCCAAGGAAAGCAGGTCTCTCCTCTGGATGCAGGACTCTTAGCACAAGCCCAGGCGTGGCTGGAAGCACTGGGGGTCCCAAGGTTTTTCCTCGTGCCCCAAGGACCACGCTGTGCACTCTGTGCTATCAAGGCAAGGCACAGCAGCCCTCCTCTGACCCCAGGAAGGTGCACAGGGTTCACCCACCACAAGAAAAGCCTGGAGAGAGCCAGTGGGAAGGCAACCAAGTCACACAAAAGAGAGCATGACAGGGGATGATGTTTTTAGGGCAGGGAGAACTTGCATTTTTAAAATAATTTTGGGGTGAAAATAGACAGGTCTCCATCCCAAAGCTATCACATTTTCAGGAATTGCACCACAAAGGAGGAACATGGGGCTCTCTCAGCCCCAGCCTCCCAGTGAAGGGTGCCCAGCTGGGGGGAAAACACCTTCCCTAGCGTAACTGCCTCCTGTCCCTCCACCCCGAGGATGCTTCACTCGCAACACGGTCACACTGCTCGCAGCGAAGTGCGGCGCACCGCTGCCTGTCCCCTGCAGCAGCTGAGCCAGACTCAAGGGGACTGGTGCACAGGAACCCTCTTCTCTCCTCTCCCAACACCCTAGCCTTCTCTTTACCTCTCCAGCTTTTCACTCCCTTTTTTCCTCTCGGACAGCTCTCCAGCCAGTTCCCTGTTCCCTCTGCCCAACTCTCTCACTCCGTTTCCTGCCATCCTGACCCTGATGCCTGGACCCTGCGCTGCGGATCCCCCAGCCGCTGACACCCTCAGAGTCCCACTGGTCCCCTCCTTCCCCTCCTGCTCCTTCCACCACCACCACCTCGCCTCCCCGGGAGCCCCCAGCCCCTGCCCACTCCTCAGCACACCTCTCCCCACCAAACCTTTCCCTCTCCAGCCTCTTCCCGGCAGAGACTGAGATTTGCTTTGTACCCACCTGGAGCAAAGTGTGGGTTTGCCTTTGCCAGGTGATTTGCTTTCAGATGGCCCCAAGAAACAGAAGCAAAACTCACGCCGCAAAATGCCGAGAGCAGCTCCCAGCCCCGTCTCGCCGAGGATGGGGAGGAACGCGTCCTGGCGCACTTCACTCTGTCACCAGGGGTTTGTGGTAGCAGCAGCAGAGAGCTACAAAGCTGCATTTAACGTGCCCCGCCGGCTCCCGAAGAAGCAGCGCAGAGGGAACAGTGTCAGGCGACAATTAGCCACAACTGTTTTACTGGTTGCTGCTTCAGCAATTTATAGGCTCCAGGTTAAAGGCTCGTTCGGCAGCGCTCTGCCACCCCTCGGAGCATGTCCTCTGAGAGCTGGATTGGAAATATTCAGAAATTAATAATTAAACATAAAATTTGGTTCTGATCTCAAAGATACGCCAATAAAAAGCGCAAATGCTGAAAATTCTCCGCAGGTGCAGAGCGCTTGACGCAAAAATCAAAACATTTCACGACACAGAAGAGTTTTAATTCTCGACCAGGGGCAGCCAAGCTCTCCCCTGGCTGGCGACCGCTGCCAGCCCGTGATTGCACAAGAGAAAACCGCCTTCCCTACAGAAGCCGCAAGCGGTGCAAAAGGAGTTTCTCACAGAAATGTTTTCCGAGCAACAGCAAAACACCACAGCACCACATTCCACCTTCCACCCACCGCACTCGGAGCCGCTGCTCCCTCCCAGAGGAGACCCTGCCCATGCCGCCCTCCGCGTCCCCCCGGCCCGGCAGCTCTGCCCCCGCGGTACCCCCGGCTCTCCGCGCCCTG